TCTACATGCGCACCATACTATACGAGGCAAGAGAGAGGTCCGACACGCCCAACATAAGGCGCGGCCATTTTGAACCCTGTGACACAGTTTACAGCTAAAGAATCAGATCGCTCACTCTGCGTCGGCACTTATGATCTCAATGTTTCAGTTTATACACTGTGCAACTCGGATAATACAATATATGACAACCGCCTATAATAAAACAGCAGTCTTCTGCGTATCCTGAATTTGTATCCCTGGAGTGGATGTTATTTTGGAACATTCAACTGGTCCGAGTGAGCTAACTGATTCTTTAGCAATAAACTGTGACTTCAAAAATAATATTCATTGACACTGACAGCAGCAAGCAAAATATCAGGTGCGTTTTAATCATCCGCTTTTGCTTCCGGAATTGTCGGTTTAGTCGTTTTAACCTGTCAGATTAAAACAAGAAAACCGACAATTCCGAAGCAGAAGCGGATGATTAAAACGCACCTATTAAAATAATAATAATAATTAAAAAAATAATAAGGGTTCAAAATGGCGGAGTTTTCTATCTCCTTTTAAAAGGCACTCAGAAAGCTGCGCAGTGCGACCATTCTCCGTATAGTAAAAGAAAATCAAAGTTTGTGGCACCATAGCATCTATACAATGTCCATACTATTGCTGGGATTTTTAAAAGAAGGAGTTGACAACCTCGTAAAAAATGAAAAACCGTGATGGCGGAAGGCCAAATATGATAATGAAATGTTAAAACTTATTTTATGAATTATGATGAAAGTTCTAAAGATCGGCAAGTTATTTTTAAGAAGATAAACAGTGTTGATTTGATGTAATTTGTAAGTATTAGCAATTTAATTTAATATTAAAGGTGTGTAGATTTATTTAAGGACTTTGTTTATCATTGTTTTCTTAACCTTATATAATTTCATATTTCATACATAGATTTTCAATTCTGTTTTTATATTTGAAACAAGAAATATCTGGCCCGGGTACCGGGTATAGTCAAGTATTCTCGAGAGTATTCTTGTTCGGCTCCTAATTGTTTAAATAAGTATTATTCTAAAATTCAGAAAGTTGGATAATCAAATATTAAACCTTTTTCATTTTCCTTCCCATATTAAAATTTGCCAGAACTGGTTTAAGACTTTAAATTTAACTTTAGATAATAATACTCGCTATCTTTGTGCGGACCATTGTTTGCCTGTCTTTTAGTAGGGTTTCATCAAAACGTAAACTGTTAGTTGAACATTCTGTACCAATTTCATTAGATAATTGTGCATCCAGTATCCAGTTCGGATATACAACCTGAGAATTAGATTTTAGAATAAGTTGAGGCCGAAGCACAAATATAGCAGCATAAGAAAAACAAGAAATTAGTTGCAAACTTAATAATTAGTGATGAACAATTTGAACGACCCTTGAAACGAAGAAAAACAATAAATAAATAATAGTCAGAAATTTAAGTCCTAAAGAGAAAAAGTATTTTATTAATATTTGATAAGAGAAATTGTTCAATAAGACATATGTACACTTTTTGTTTTGTTTTTATAGAAAACACGGGACACCCAACAAAATATGGTCCATTTTTCCAAGAATGGGGGAGACTACCTACTATTCATTTTACTTACAATTGTTATTTACTATTGAGCTCTTGTATGTATGTATTACTGTATTATAAATAATTAAAATATATGTTTCAAATATTTTATTTTAATGTAAATATTTTTTGTTTATATTTTTTGGGGTTTTATTACGAAAAAAAACTAATACTTATGTTAAATGCATTATTTTGATGTAAATATTAGTTTTTTTTTGAGTAATGAATGCCAAAAAAATGTAAATAAATAATAAATTATATTTGAATGAACCGCGGTTCGCTTAAAGCTCTTCTTTTTTTATTCTTCTCTTTCTTATTCGGCCTCCAATTGGCAAGTCAATCAGCCAGTGTAGTTCAAAAAAAATCCGTTCCATACTAATTCGCAGCACTGTTTGTTTCCAAAAATTAACACGGAATCAGACTATTTTCTGTATTAATTTATCTATGGATTTGTCAGCAGGAAAGGTTATGATACCTAACTGCATTTTAAAATTCTCATATTGTGACGAAAGTCTAATTTATTTTTAGTTTATTTATTTAAAAACACACTATTTATAATTTATTTTAGACGTACTATTTAATTTATATAATATTTAGACACTAACTAACAATTCTAATTTATTTCTTACACTTTAACTTTTCAATACAACGTTCTATATTCAACTAAAATCGGCTATTTATATTAGTCCAACTCCGCTACTGGAAAATGCTAGAGGCTCTTGAAGGTCGTCTCGAACATTCCATTCCTATGACTAAACGGTGCTCTTCGCCGTTCCAGCTGTTTCTCGAGCCTCAGCGGCATTCCCAGAACATTCCGTCGCCTCGAGCACGAGTCGGTTGCAATGTGAAGGTCGAGCGTACACAGGGTAGGCTTTAAGAATTTCATAACAATATATAATTATCTTGGTCGACTACATAGAAAAGGGGAAAATAATAAATGGCGATAATATCAAAAATAAATGGCCTAATTTGCTAAAGAAGAAAAAATAACGTACCTGCCTACAAGTTTTTGACTAAAATAACTAAAATTTATGATTTGGGATTTGACTTAGGGCTTCATTCGATCTAAAATGAAGGGGCGTTGCTAATTATGAATATCGTTGGAATGTGTGTTGAGCGAGCATTGAAAAACAAAAGGTTTTTATTGAAAAAAAAAACTGTTAGGCCACGTAGTTATCAAAGAATAATTCGTATACTAAAATTTCTCATGATTACAGCGATATATCTAATTATTCTCATTTGTTGCGTAAATAAACGTTGTTTGTTTTTCGTGGCGATGAAATTAAGACACCACAGTCACAAGTTGCAATTAAATACTAATTATTCATTTAATTATTGGAAAATAATGGCAGGATATTTATGTTTATGTATTTTCAAGTTTTATTTTTCAGCCACAAACATTGTAAACAAGGTGTATGTTTTTCCGTTGTGGTTAAAATTACCTAAGTATAAATAAATCATGTTGGTTTTTCATAGCAAAATAAAATTGTTACAGAGACGAAGATACATTTAAGTTATAGGTCTCAAATTTATAACTTTTTAATAGGTTACCTATGTCGCACAGTGATTTCGGATAAGCATATTGGTCGATCAAAATAGACAAAATAAAAAAATCAGATAATAAGCAAATTACTCATAAATAATAACTGCATAACCAGGCAATACAAAACAATTCATAAAAATCATTTTTTTAAATGAAGTGTGCCGTTCGTTGCCCTGGTTACTACGCGCAACTGTCAATAAATTCAGTTTGTGCTTTATTGTTGTCATTTAAGAGGCATATTTAGGCTTTCTGTGCAAAATAGTGATAATAATTTGTTAGATATTGTATGTGATCATGTCTAATTGTTCTTTTGGTAAGTAAAAATGCTTTATAAGTCTTATTTTTATCCAGAATTTTTTCTATTCTATGCTTTAATAAAAATAAGTGAACGAAAATATTAATTTTTAATTTTTCTAAGTTTTGATGGAGTATAAAAAATATATCACGTAGTTTCACGCTGATTATTTTAAAATCGAAGCTCTTTACGTTAATCTATTTAATGTTATTAAACTCAAATTAATCAGAAGTGCGCAAGCCAAACAATATTTTTTTTGTTTACAGACATCAGGATGGGTATTAAACGAATGAAACTTTACCAATTTTTGTTAGACCAGAAACTTATTTCCCGACACCGAAACCAGAAACAAAATTAAGAAGGACATTTTCGGTGAATTTTTCACGCCGTTGGAAAACAAGTGGAAGAAAATCGGAAAACTTTTTAAAGCAATATAACTACTGGCTATAGCATTATATCTGCAAGCCAACTATGGAAAATTCTGTTCAAACAGTAGGAAGACCTCTTAAAAATTTTTTTTTGGCAAGCGATAGAACGAAAAGATTATTATTTGCAGCACAGTCTAGTCTAATCAAAACCGGTAACAGAAATGCAGCCAGTGTTATAAAAAAGGCAATAACCTCTATTCCTACCACCCTAAAGCATTTTAAAAAGATGAGTAAAAGTAAAACAGATCTTCGACCATACTCTGTTGAAGAAGCACTTGCGCTTATAACGAATGCCAAACTAACTACTGCCCAGTATAAACAGATAAGAAAATAAGCCAAAAAAAGAAAATACAATATCTACCCATCGTACTTGCTGCCAAAAAGAATGGTTATCCTAAAAATATAAATATAAATGAAACTTCTGCTCAGGTTCCTTTGCAAAATGCACTATGTATTGTTCAGAAAGATGTTATCGATCACGTAGTACCAGAAGAAGATCAAGTAACTTTGGAAATGAGATACAAATGGGGCTTCGATGGATCCTCTAGCCATGCATTATATAAACAAAAATTTACAGAAAACCCAAATTCGACAGACACAGATTTACTTATAATGTCAATCGTACCCTTACAATTCAAAAAAGTTACAGACAATACCGAAACTATAATATAGCAAAATCCGAGGCCATCGTCCACGCGTTTTTGTATGCCACTGCATCTCCAATTCATAAAGGAAAGTAAGGAATCTATAGAAAAAGAGAGTGAGTACATAACAAATCAAATTAACCAATTAATGCCAACATATCTGAATTTCAGTGGACGATGCTTAACCGTAAATCATGTTTTGATTCAAACAATGATAGATGGAAAAGTGGCAAATGTCTTAACTAAAAATCGTTCCTCTCAGTCATGTTATATTTGTAAAGCTACCCCAAATGACATGAATGACATTGACAAAGTTATGGAAAGACAATGCAATATAGAAGCCTATAAATATGGTCTCTCAACCCTTCATGCCCATAATCGAATGTTTGAGTGTTTATTGCATGTTTCATACAAATTAGTTATAAAAAAATGGCGTATAACAACAACTGAAAAAGAAGTCGTAGAAAGAAGAAAACGAGAAATAACAAATTATTTTCGTTAACATACAGGTATGTTGGTAGATGTAGTGCGTCAAGAAAGTGGGACGACAAATGATGGAAACGTTGCCAGGCATTTTTTCAGTGAACCAGCACTATTAGCAAACATAACAGGAATTGATGAGACTCTAATACGCAGATTCTCCGTAATTTTACAAGGCATCTCTTGTGGATACGATCTTAATCCTGAAGCATTCAAGAAATATGCTCTGGATTCTGCCCGACTTTTCGTGAATTTATATCCCTGGTTTAAGATGCCATCAAGTGTCCACAAGATACTGATCCACGGTGCAGATGTCATAAATTCTTTAATTCTTCCAATAGGCCAGCTTAGCGAAGAGGCTTTAGAAGCACGGCATAAAGAATGTCGATACTACCGCCAATACAATTCTTGAAAAATTGGCAGAAAACAAAACATGGAAGATTTACTACATGCCCTATTAATTTCATCTGACATGCTGATTTCCAGTATAAGACCTTTGCCGAAAAGAAAATTGAGTACACTTCCCGAAGAGGTTGTTAGCATGTTGAAAGTACCAAAAGATCCAAATTTTACTATCAAAAAAAATTTCGTATCCACTACATCTTCAGATGATGATGATTCTTCTGATGATTTAGACATAATAGATTAGTAATATTTATTAAGTATTGTCTATACTTGATTTCCTAATTTTTGTATATCTTGTTAAATGGAACTAATTTGCAATTTTATAACTTTCTATGTTTTTATCACACTTTCATTTTTATAAAATTGTTCAATAAATGTTCAGCGTCAATATAATTTGTAAACATTAGGTTAAAGTACAATACATAGCAATATTAAGTAAGTCGGTTTTTACATTCCTTTAAAAAACAAACTATTTTAATCATTTGTTACATTATGTGACCAATAATTGCAACTTCTTTTAAAAGAATGTCTGTCAATTGACGTGACAACTTTTTAAATGAATATCAAAAATTAAAAAAAGCCTAATGGGAAAAATGACAATAAAAACTTTTCCGGTTGTTACACTATAAGTATATTAAGTAAAACAAAAAAAAGTAATTCATTCAAAAAAATTGTCGCATCTATAGTGACAGAGTATGAAAAGTGTAAGGTAAATTTTCCATAAAGTTAAACATTTTTTTAAATTAATTATCTTTCTCTTAACTATAACGATTTAAAAATACACCCAGTATCTATATAAACTTAAAAATTTAAATGTATATCTTAATATTAGTTTTTCTTTAAATCGTGTATGATAGTATACTAAAAGAGCAGCATCTCCTGCAAATTTATGCACGCAAAATATTTTGATCGCCTAATATTGTCATTTGGAACACTGTGTGTCGTTGTTTTTATACAGACATTGGTTATGTGTTTGCATTTATTAGCTACACAATTGGTAAATGTGTTAAATTTAGTGCTGAAATGAAATCCTGGGATGACAATTTGAAAACAATGAGTGCATCTCACGAACTATCAGAAAATGCTTAAAAATGCTTCTATGATGCAAAGAGGGAACTTATATAACAAAATATAGAACTTACATCAACCCCTATGTATCAACAAAAATAAAATAGCAACCCCTACACGTGACAAAGTTATAGACAACCTTCTGTATTTTGAAATAAGAAGAAAATAATAATGAGCACTCCACCAAAAGGATTCACATGCTCAAGCCAGTACTTTTATAACTTTTTCTTATCAATACCGAACCTTTGTGGGACCTGAATCTCTTGGGGCTAAGACAGGCTAGGATACTTCAAGGTGAATATAACCAGAAAAAATCGGAAACCTGAATCTGACTGAGCAAAAACAGGCTACGCATTGTAACAGGGATCCCTACTATATAGGCATTGCCGACTCAAGGGACACCTTATAGTAAACTGAGAGTAGTAGAAGATACCAAGTGTAGGTTCTGTGAGGAGGAGAATGAAAACTCCATTCACATTCTAAATGAATTTGTAGTGCACCTCAGAATCCAAGGAAACTATATCTAGGAGCATATCAAATAGGAGAGGGAGATTTACCTAACTTGAAGTCACTCCAAATCCTGCACTTCCTTGAGAAATTAGGAATAGAAGGGTCGTTATAGGCATTGAGACATCTCCTTGCTGTATTAGCGACAGAAGGGGGCACAATAGATATTTTAGGTCGCAGTGTATTAACACCCAATTCCCAACATAACATCCATACCGAAGGAATTGTAACGGTCTTCGATTTTACCTCCCACAACTCTGAATTTCAACAAATAAGGTGGAAATCAATGTCTAAGAAGACAAATTATGTCCAAAAATGTAGTTTTGAGTAAAACCGATTTTTAAAGTTGAAAGTAGGGGAGACTGGGGAGGGTTGAGCCACTTTTTTTCAGAGACCTGGTTTTCTGTCGTGTTTTAGTAATCGCATAAAGTTTTTTACATATTGATTTACTATGGGTTTTAACTTTTTAACACAATAGCAAGATTATTTAAAAAATTGTTATTTAAGCAAAAAACTATTGATTAAAGTACCACATGCACTTGTCTCAAACCTCCCTTATGAAGGGAGGCTTGAGACAAGCAGAGGGAGGTTTGAGGCAAGCGTAGGGAGGCTTGAGACAAGAGTAGTAGGTAACGATAAAGTCACAAGTTAAAGCACATTTATTACAGTTAACAAATTGTTTAACCCTTTCCTGCAATAATAACAATTAACAAAAAAAAAAAACATAGGTACTTGAAAAAATAAAAGAATACAGCAGTCATAAAAATATTTGCCAAAAAACCTAGAATAAATTTTCATATTTGGAAAAATCGACTGGAAAAGAAAGGGTTCTATGTGTTCTTGCTGTTCCTCCAGTAAAGGACGGGTTTGGTAACTTAACCAGATCATCCCTAGGTACACAACATTCATCAGCAACATCGGGAAAAATAAATTTGTATCCTGGAGGCTTTAGTCTCATGCACAATAAGTCGTAATCGTTGCCATTAATATTTATGACTTTGGCAACGTAATGTCGGAAAGTCTTTTTGGTAGGAAATCGTACAAGAACATAGTCATCCTTGCAAACGTCTTGATTCATAAAGCTTTCTTCAGCATTTTCTTTTTCAATCTGTTCCTCAATATCGGTTAACTCATCAGAACTCGAAAAGTTGAAAGAATCGTTAGATTGTTCAGATTCCTCCATGACTATCTCAATCTTATTTTGTTTAACGGGCACCTGTTTTTCATCTTCTGAAACCAATTTTTTTTTTAGTCTTTCTACCCTTTCTTCCTTTTTTTTATTTTGCTCTTCCTTTTTCTTTGCTCTTTCCTCAAATTCTTTTTGTATTTGATCTTTTTCGGGGGTGTCCGTTAAAATCCGTGTTTTTCCACATTTCCTTCCAGCTTTCTTTTTACGTGGAAGAGCTTTCGGAAATGGCCTTATAACTTCAGGGCTTACAAATTCATTTGGAATATTTTTGGAAGTACTAGGGACAGCTAAAAGTAAATTTTCTGTAGCCTGTAAAGCTTCAGATGGATCTGGTCGGTCTGTAATTTCGGAACTGGTAAAATCACTATCTGAAAATACAGCTGGATTATATGGACAAATACCAGTATGTGAAAATCCACCTATTATATTGGCCGGCGTAAAAGCACGAACGTAAGCACTTCCCACAAGTTCAGGTATTTCTTTTAAGGATATCAGCTGTGCAGGATTGTTGACCATCCAGTTATCTGCCGCTTCATTATAAAACCTTTTAAAAGGCCCGAAAACGTTGGTGTCCAAGGGCTGTAACTTATGGCTAGTATGAGGTGGAATAGTGAGTAGTATTATTCCATTTTCTTTACAAATGTTAAGCCCTTTTGGGGAAATATGGCTATCATGGTTGTCTAGTATCAGCAGACACTTGTGATTCTCGTTGACTCGGGAATACTTGATGAAGTGCAATAAATATTTTTCAAAATTCTCGTGGGTCATCCAACCTGATGGATTTACAGAAGCATCAGCACCAATGGGAAGTCCTCTTGTCATATAATCCTGGATCCTAACCCTCGGAAAAATTAAAAATGGGGGAATAGTGTTACCGGACGCACTTATAGTGCATAAAACTGTTACCAGTGATCCTCTTTCACACGATGTTGCTTTTGACACCTGCTTCTGCCCTTTCTTTGCAATTATTTTTTGCGGCTTATGTGCTGTTGTAACTCCCGTTTCATCTGCATTATATATGCAATCAGGTGTAATATGTTCCCTTGTCATGATGGTCTTTAAATTGTCAAAAAATAGCTGAACAGTATATTTATTAAATGCAGTGGCACGACCTACACTCGTGGCTTCTGGTGTCCTAAGTGATAAGTTATCATGTCTTGACATAAAACCTCTTAGCCAATCACGCGTTGCTGCTCTATTTCTCTCCCAAGCTGCTGAAATATTTTTGTTATTTTCAGTTGCAAAGATGTAAGCAAACTTTCTTACTGCGATTGAAGTCCATAATGTAAGTCAGCGCATTTGAGCAGATATTGAACTAGCAAATATTCTTCTTGATTAGTAAAAATTTGCGAAGAATTAAAGTTTGCTACAAACGATACAAGTTCGTTTGATTTAAATTTATTTACGTATCTAGAGAGTGTCGTTCTATCAATATTATATTTTTTGGCGACTGCGCGGATTTTACCATTTGTACTACATATTTCCCGTACTGCAGTTTCCAAAATTTCAGGATCAGTGGGCAGTCGGCCTTTCGATTTCCATTTAAAAGGCATCTGCAAAAAAATTATTATTGTAGATGCTGCAGTGAACATTTTAGCAGAAGAAGTTAAAGAATAATCTACGTTATCCTATATTTTTTCACTTGGAAAAGAAAGAAAAAATACTGGAAACCAAGTACAGGTATTTTCTAACCATGATGGGAGGTTTGATCCATGTCTCAAACCTCCCACATAAAATCTGTTCATCCCTCCCCTCGTACTAGTAGCCACAACAAATTACGATTTTTAGGTTAAAACATAATCTAACAAATAATTTAATACATGAAACTATGTTGAATTAGTATGTTATTCGGGTAATTCATCCATATATTTTCAAATATAAAAATGAGAATAAAGAATCCTTATACATTTTCTTAAAAAACTTACATTGTTTAGCCTCAAAAAGAACTTTTCACTATAACTTTCGTAAACGACTTCGATTTGTTGTTGAACTTAGATAATGGGAAAGAAACAATGAATAAGCATCCACTATACGGAAAAGTAAATTTATTTAAGGATACGTTACCAATGCAATATTTATGGTTCAAACCTCCCTCTGGCTCAACCCTCCCCAGTCTCCCCTACTAAATTTGTAAACCATGAGGATTTCACCTTGAAGAACACAGAATCATACTTATCCCATTTTCGTCAAAAATTAACAAACAATATTTGTCCTCTTAGTCATCGAAATACTCTCCACTAATTCTCGCTTTGCAAGAATCTAAAACCAAAAGAAAATTTTCTTTCCGAGGTTTCAATCATTTTCGAAAAAATGATACTCCGAATATCCGATCAAAAGTTGATGTAGCGATTCTCCTCAAGAACTTCATACCTGGAAATAAATTTAAAGTAAAGACCCGATTGCAAACTATAACTGAACATAAACGTAACTACGTATGCAATATTTATCTACCAAATTTTAACTGGAACACCCATGAAATCTCTGACCTTATAAATCAGGCATTCTTCATAATAGAAAGATTGTAATGCACTCTCCCCTCTGTGGTTCCTGTTCCAAAGATACTAGAGGTAGACACGTTGAAACCAGTATTGAAGAAAAACATTTATGTATACTGAACTCCAGTCAACCATCCATTTTTGGGCAAGGTCAAATGAATTTTATATTATTGACCATACACATTCCCAAGATTCACTTGAATTCTCTGGAAGACCTGTATTCAAGTTATAATTTCCCAATCCAAATTATTCTAAATAACCCGTCGCAGACAAGATATTATCATCATGTCCGATAGCGAAACAGCCACCCAAAACAAAAAAAGAAATTAGTTAGTGCGATTGCGATATCTTCGGCACAATAGAAATCATATTAGGCAGAGCAAGAATCTTCTAAATAACGAACAATTAAAGAAGCTAAAAAAAAGAAGAAAGAAGACAAATTAGAAGCCAAGAAAAACCAGCAGTGGGATTCTCATCTTTCAATAAGGCATGTGTTGAGAAGCTACTATCTTCGTTCGACAGATTGCGATTCGTATGTAATGACTCTTTCTATTCAACACGTAAAGAGTTGAGTTCGCACACAAGAATCCATGTCCTGGGGTCGAAGAGCATTAAGAAGAAGAAGGATTGACTACATAGAAATATCTATACAACAAAAACCAAAAGCCAGTAAGGCAGTGACAACCCATCAGGATAAAGAAAAAATCGGGAACGAACTAAAACACACTCACGTGTAACATACGTTGCGGAAAATATAAATGCGTCCATTCTCTCCCCGTGTTCATAATCTCCTAGGTCTCCCCTACAATTCTCCCTAACAGAATATACAATTGACGAGGGATTATTATCCTATGCAATTATAACGTGTAAGAATACACACATAGAGAACATTGTACACAAATACGAATTATCTCGAATTTTTCATCGTACTGCATGCTATTTCTATTTAAAAAATTATGATTAAAATTAAACACTACAATAATTGGTTGAATACATCTTAAATACAAGGCTACACTAGACAATAGATATTTTTTTCAGTTTGGCCCCAGTATAAAGAACAATACAGTAGCGACAGATTGCGTCGGCTTCTTTGATGTCGGGGTGGTCAGATTTTCAATGACAGTTGACGTTTTTGTCGCTTATTTCTACACGGAGAAAAGTAAACTCTAAAATTGCAAATTAGCGATGTACACTTAGAAAAAAATTAAAACATGTACATATAACATTTTAATGTATTCTAGGCAAATAAATTAATCAAAATATTGTGTAACTTAAATAAATGAGTTCCGGTGAAAATCTAGATGTGCCAATTTTAAAATTTTATCATTAGATTAAAATAAATTACTTTTGTATGCCATTCATTGTATGAAATGTGTTAAACATTTTTTGGTTTCTTCCTGGAACTAATAAATTAACTCTGCACCTTATTTTTTTATTTAAAATGAGGTTATGTAGGTATCTTTTTACAAGTGAAACAACATATAACAATAATATTTATTAAAACACACAATTACAAATTAGTAAGTTTTTAATGAATTTACAATACAAGAATTATTTTATTTCAATTTTTGTTCCTACGTACAAATTTTTGACTTCAGATGAGTTTTAGCAAATGCCTGTTGTAAGTCACCCGTTAAGCACAATGCTGCCCAATTGCTTATATTACCTATGTATATAATTAAATACTATTAACGTCACATCATAAAAATTAGATGTTTATATTTAACGATTTTATGGTTTAAAATTTGTATGGGAAAGGTTATCTGCTGCGGGATTTAAATATTTAATGGCTAGAAGAATCAACAGTGACTGTCTAGAAAAATTTGTTGTGTCCATTAGGCAACAGGGTGGGAATTTAATTAATCCAACACCTGTACAATTCGAAAGGGCATTTAAAAAACTTTTTTGTCAAAATTATCTTCATTGCAATTCCATGAATTGTAATGAAGACCTGGACAAACACTTGCTACAATTAGATGTAAAAAATATTGTCTCTCTGTATCCTGAAATAAATAAAAACACTCGAGAAGCTGTGTTTCTTCCTAATTACAGCTACAGGACAGAAGATATAATAGTTCAAAATCCATTTAAATATGTTTGTGGCTATTTGATCAAGAAAGCTTTAGGCATACATGGATGTAATACATTTATTAAATTTTCAAAAGAATGTGAAGATTTGGATAGTTCACAGATTTTAACATATGATTGCAAATAAAGCACTTATGGAGGCCTAAAAACTCCAAATGAAAAGTTTATTATCTATATATTTAAATTATAAAAAAATGTTATATCTATTTTTAGCAATACCTTGTGTAATGTCTGGTATATCGCATAGATTTTTTTGATATTATGAAAGAAATAGAATTTAATCATCCTTGTCCTAATTTCCCTAACGTATATATATCATACAACTATTTATAAGTTTATATATATTATTGTTTAAGTGCTTAAATATTGTATAAATGAAACAAATCAAAAATTAAAAAACAGTTAAAATAATAACACCACAAAATACATTTTTTTGTTTTCTTTTTGCTACTTTACAAGAAATACATATATATTTTGATTAGATGTAGTCAATCAGAACATTTTTAATCAATGGACATAGTGAATCAAAGAACATCTAATTCATTATAATAATTTGGAGGTAGGATTTTTGATTAAGAATGTCCAAAGGTTGCACATGGTACGCTTTCAAAAATGTCTCGTTCATGTTCAATGATAGTCTCAACAGAGGAAGCACTTGGTCGATGTACTAGGGAGAAGATAGACATTTGGCTGATGACCTAGATGGATAAAAAATGTGGGAACAGCAGTAGGCAATAAACGTTTACGGTTCAACGTTTTAGAAAAACAATTCTTCTCAAAATGTTTCTCACACAACCTGTAATTCCGATGAAGACTGTTCACATCTATGTTACTCAAATCTTCCCTATTACAAGCTCTTAACCACATGTTGGCCCTAAAATATAAAAAAGTTGATAACAAATGTTTAGATTGAGGGTAGTTCAGAAATTATATATTTTTTACATTATTTTTGTTGAAATTGTAAAAATTGTCCTCCAGACATTTAAATAATAAATATTTGGTTGTCAAATATAAAAATTGAAAGTATTTTCTTAAGACATACCTTTCTGGCTCCATGGGAAATGCAAAATAACTTGTCCCTTTGTCTGTTTACTCTGTTTGAGATGGACAAGGGCGATAGACACATCTCTTTCTTTTCTGATCAGGTGCAGAAGCCATTTCAAAAATATCACACAATAAATGAAAAACTAAAATAATAAAAATGTCTCAAAATATGCACTGGGTACAAAAATAATGACATATTTACATTATTTACATTTACATCGCATTGACACTATTGACGTTGACGTTTTTGTCGCTTATTTTCGGACATGCGCAGAAAAATATGGACCCCTCATAAAAAATGATCTGTCGCTACTGTATTGGTATATATACTGGGGTTTGGCTTCCATGTTCCATGTTTATAATCGACATATGACAGTGACAGATGAAATTGTAAAAATTTAAAAACCAACGGCTTGTTTTTAAGGTTATGGTTTGTGTTATTTGTTATTTTATTTCAAACAATAAACATCTTAAAAAATGACAGATTTTAATGAAGACTGTTTATTAAGAGTGTTTAAAGAGTTAGATGTTCAGTTATTACATTTAAATCCAAATGTTGTAAAAGCTTGGTTTGATACAGATGATAAGAATATGAAAAATTTACTAAATTGGATGTGTGGTTCACTATCCAAAAAAAATTATGTATCTCCTTTAGAAATGACTGAGTATGTATTATTAATGTATTAATAAACAATAATTATCTTGATTTACTCTTTGTAGATATTTGACAATATCAAACCCATTATCTGGCGATGATTTAAAAGAGAAAAATAAACAAATAGAAGAACAATATCCAGATATTTTTGATACAGAAATTAATTCTCTAGAAATTGAATTTCTTGAAGAAGAGTTGAATTTAGCACGCCAACAAGAAAAAGAATTAGATCAGCTTATTATTTTAAATAGGTACTTAATATTATATTGAATCATTATCCGAATTATCAATTTGTGTGTTTAAATGTCATGTCTATTTTTGGTCATCTTAATATATATGTATTACTTACTTGCTGTATTTTATGCACTTCTGTATGTTGGCAATACAATATTATGAGTACTGAGGGAAATACCTTCCCTATAAGAATATATTGTACCTACATGTTCAAAACTACCATGCTTAGCTAAAAAGTCCTATCTAACAAAATTTCAGTTTGTGAGATAAAGGCATATTTGTAATGCAGACATGCATCTACAATGTTTTTCTATGCAAACACGTCCTAACTACAATATAAAGATATAAAGCACTTGTTTCTTAGATTTAGTTTTGTCCTATTATTTACACAATAGATAATATGAAAACAAAATCATTAATATCTCAAAACTTTTCTCATTTCAGATAGGACTTTTTAGCTAAGCAGGGCAGAAAACTAATTATCATTGTTTGGAAGTGGACAAAATCACATATAATATATTGCTTACTTATTGTTGCCTCTTCCAACATATCTGGATTTGCCATCTAACCACAGATTTTTCCTAGTAGGTACTTTTTGATAGAAAAATATTTGACAATGATCCTTCTTCATTTTATGTAAAAATGCATTTTTTTAGAAATTCAGGAGAAATATTAGATAAAAATTTATCAAATAAGTTCAAAGAGGAAATTGAAGTATCTGTTAGAGCAAAAACTACTGAAGAAAAGTGCCTTGCAGCTGGGGAAAAATTGGACGAAATGAATGAGAAAATTTTTGATCTAATAGTCAAATCTACAAATATTTTATACGATTTTGAATTTGTAAGTAAAATTTAAATTTGATATATTACAGGTAGATAAGTACTTTATACATTTTAAAAGTATTTGTTCTTGAAGTTCTATCAGATTTATTACAATTTTATAAAGTTACTACTGAATTAAGCATTTCTTAAAAAAGGCATTCGGCTATGCGTTTCAATAAAAATTAATTACAAATTCAGATCTAAATCATCACAGTTGCAATCACAACTGATTGGAGTAAATGTTGGTAAAACCATTGAGTAAGAAAAACAGAGTTTGTGGTACCATCTACAATTATTTATATAAAAATTATTAACATTTGTAGGGAGTTGTTATTTATTTGATGATTAAATATAAATAATTAAGGGGTTAGGTGTAGTCAGAGACATGAAAAAATTACAATTTTAAATAATTTTTTTGCCAGTAAATTATTTTATTTTATAAAACTAAAAACATAGCATCATTAAATAAGGTTTCGACTTGACAGAAATTTTAGAAAAAAAAATTAAAATTTTAAAAGTAATGGCTGTTTGTGTTGATCCAGTTCCAACTGAAGCTCCTTGCAGTGACCATCACTTATCCTTGGAGATTCGTCTAAAATCAATCAGACAATAAACATTATTTTTATTACTAGATAATCTAGTGCCTAATCGAAGCTTTTTTTTTTATTAACAAAATGGCGGCATCAGGAAAATGTTTTCCCGATTTTCAGGAAGAAAAAAAACAACAGTTAATTGTTTATAAAAAATCATAATTAAAAAAAAATCCTTTGATCAGGCACTAGATTATCTATTAACAAAAATATTTTTTTTGTCCAATTGATTTAAGGATGTCCTTTCGCCTCAAATGTTAAAAAAAAAGTTTTATGACTAAAATTAATTTTTTTCTAATAGTTGAAGTCCTTATTTATCTAATACTGAACTTTTAACTATACCTTACCTTGCAAATTTTTGAGAATTTTTTTTTTAATGTGAGTATTTGTACAGTGCCTCACGAGAAAGTAAGTCCTCAACAACAATTCTCGAATTATACTATTATTTATTGATTAGATGGAGTAGAAAAATACTAAAAATAAGGTTTTTGAAATATTTAGATTTTGTTTTATACAATAAAATATATATAGTAAACCGTGGAACTTATTGAGAAATTAATATTAAAAAGTCACAAAAAAATTTCAAGTAACCTAGTTGAAAATTTTTTGTGATTTTTTAATAATAATTTCTCAATAAATTCCACGGTAACCTATATATTTTATTGTAAAAAACAAAACCTAAATATTTCAAAAACCTTATTTTTAGTTTTTTTCTACTCCATCTAATCAATAAATAATAGTAAAATTTATTATAATTCGAAAATTGTTGTTGAAGTCTTACTTTCTCATAAGACACTGTACAAACACACACATTTAAAAAAAAAAAAATTTCAAAAAATTGCAGGGTAAGGTATAGTTAAAAGTTCACTATTAGATAAATAAGGACATCTACTATTAGAAGAAAAAAAATAATTTTAGTCATAATCTAATATTTTTTATTTAACATTGGTGGCGAAAGGACCTCCTTAAGATGAATCTCCAAGGATAAGTGATGGTCATCGCAAGGAGCTTTGGTTGGAACTGGATCAACACAAACAGCCATTACTTTTAATTTTTTTTTTTTCTAAAATTTCTGTCGAGTGGAAATCTTATTTATTGATGCTGTTTTTACTTTTATAAAAAAAATAATTTACTAGCAAAAAAGTTATTTGAAATTGTAATTTTTTCATGTCTCTGACTACACCTAACCCCTTATTCCAAATATGTGGGAGCAAACTAGTTCTTTTTGCTTTTCTGTATCCAGTACAGAAAGTATAGGAATCATGATTTTTCGACCTCGAATTTTGAAGTTGTTTGTGATGATATCTGTCTATGTGTATAATATCTGTATCCACCATAACTCAAAAATGAATAAAGAGAAAAACATTCGGTGAGCTGGTTTTGGGCATAGTTGGAGCATCAGGAGGACACTTTATGGGTGATCATTTTTCTATATTAAGGTGATGTAATTCTCTATAATGATAATTACCTAGAACGCAATGGAGAAATTGGAGGAAAAGTGTAAAATTTTAATTTTTTATTTTTGTTGGCAATTCAGATATGAAAAACTGTTATAAATAATTTATTTATGTAGAATACAGTATATCTAACCTAACACAAACAATAATTGTAGGGAGTTAAACAAATATAAAATATTAAAAAAATGAAAAACTACATCACAATATATTTGATAACTTTTCATGAAAGTCATCTGTTGGACACATCATTTTTTAACTGCGAACCAACATAATCATTAAATTTATAGGATTTAAGAATAATTGTGAAGTTTTTTCATGGTACCAATAATAATCTAGTAAATTTAATATAGTCAAAACCATTTTATCAGTTTTTATTGTAATTTAACAGAGAAAAATAATACACAACTTATATTTTGGGAATCGAAGCCTACTAATCCTCTATTAATTTGTCAATTCCTTCATCTATCATAATAATAATACTCTCCCTAATTCACCCCCTTACGAGTGAATTTTAACCCCAAAAGCTGAGCTTGTGCGGGGAAAGGGAGGGATATTATTTTTTTTTTTTTTTTTTTTTTTTTAATTTGGTGTCATCGGCGTCGACTACCACGGCCATTAGCCTCGTGTTCTGTGTAGGCTTTGTTACTGTTTCCCAGCGCCACTTTAGGAACAGCACTGTTAATTAGAACCCAACAGTGAATGGTCGAGTGGGGAATCCTACCAAGGCATCAGAATTAATTTTAAATAATTAAATTAAATGAAAAAATCCCGGCCAACGGTGGGATTCGAACCTGAGACCTTCCGATCTCAAAGTCATGACTCTAACCACTGAGCCAACCCACCCCCGGGAGGGATATTATTATTTGCCGTGGCGCTCCGGGGCGACTTAAAGATGATTGATGGTGCCATTTGACTTACAGGTGAGGAAAACCCCACCCACCATCATCGAAAACGGTAATGCATGGTGATTTTATTTTAATAATCTGGATGTCATATCAACAGAAATTAAATTTCTGCTAATATGGCATCCATAAAATTCTATAGAGAACCATGCAAACAAATTCACATGGTCTTCCGTAGGATCTGAAACCGTGTCTCGTTTTACCAGAAATTGACTGACAAATGAATGCCGCGCCGTAGACACCTACACCACTGTAGTCGACATAATTCATGTATTTTAATATATTTCTTTTCTTAACTTATACAGGGTCTCACACCAATGTTTATCAATAACTTTACCATTAACTTGTATCAGGAGAGATTGGAAAACGTAATGTCTTTAGTAAAACCAGTATTGGATAAGTCATATTACACTGGAAACATGACAGCTCTTACTAATGTAACTAACTTAGACCATCTTCCTCTAGATGAAACAACTACAAACAATTTGTGTAATATGAGACACAGGTAATATTTTTATTAATATGCATTTTAAGTTAAATTACTAATATAGCAATTTTTTAAACCAATACAGTGTTTTCTTAGTTATTTTAAGTTTATATTATTTCTATCTTAAGAACCCAAAAATAGTTACTTTAAAACTAATATACCCGAAAAAAATACTTTACCTAGATGAAACATCAGGAACCGATAAACTTATTCTCATAATTAGTTTAATGACTTAAGTTTAATATAATCAGGAGACTTTTTAATCCTTGCCATTCACATTGATTATTTAATATTTTTTTATAATTTGTTTTGATGGAATACTATATAATGTTGATGATTTTTTTAAAGATTATTACATAGTCACCACAAATATCTAGCAACTGCAATAGAGTTGGAGAAAATGAAAAACATTTTAGCTGATCTGGAGAAGATTTCAATAGAAACTTTGATTTCATTAGATGAAACGTAAGTACCCCATAACTGCCATGATACATATTTTGCAGTATTCTATTATATATCAAATCGAAAGGTTTAAAAAAAATATTTGAAAAACGATAGCTTGCTGAATCAGTGATTAAAAATAAAATCAGGCTATTAGCTATTGGAGATGGAATGATGCGGGTTTCCAGATAACTAGAGAGCAGAATATATGCATAATTTCGCAACGCCAATTTCACGGGTATACCAATAAAAACGGTCTTAATACGGGTGCCCTACTCCACTGGTTCAAATTAAAACAACATATCTTAACCTAAAAATACTTACCGATGAAAGGATAAATTTCGATTTAAATGATCTACTTTATTGAACACTACACATGCATGTACCATAATTCTTTATATTTCTCACAAAAGTTCACAAAATTAGTATTTTATAAATGAATAAATCAATTTAGTCACACAGAAACTGTCAGAAACACAAAATATCTGTTAGACCCAATTGGCAACGTTGCAGCTGGTTGCGGTAATTACATTTCATTCATAAAAATAGGTACTAGTTGTAAATTCGTAAAATAAGATATTCAGTGTTGCCATATTTACGGAGTTCTTTGCAACTCTAATATTTTGTTTAGATTAATATTGATTTTCAATAAAAAATTTAGCTTATATTAAAACTTAAAAAATAATTTGATTAAAAACATATTTTTATTTATATAATATAAAATTATAGTTATAGCACAGCTTATACATTACAGCTAAAACACTCTCTTGGCGGCAACGGTTTGCGTCGATTTCGTCGCGCATCGCTTAAGCTCCGCCTTCGGAGGGAAAAGACGGTTTTGGCGTTCAGAAGCGTACTTAGGTAAGGTGTTGAGTCCTGCGTATAATTTCGTGGAGCCTATAATTTCGTTGATTTTGTTTGAGTTAAAGGTACTGTTATTATTTTGGTGACTCTTTAGCTGTGAGTAGAATGAGTGAAAAAAAAGACATCATTCTGTTTGTGCAGCCAAAAGCTGTTTTAATAAGGGTTATACCTGCAAGAAAACATTCTTTAGTTTTCCCAAGGACCCAAACCGATAAGTATCACATTATAAGAAATTTTCATTGTTAAAAATATAATTTATACAGGGTGTCCCATTAGTGCGTTCTTGTTCATTATTTTGTTGTAGACACCCAAAAAAGTTTTAAATAAAAGTTATATGGATTTGAAAAATACCTACATATTTTAAAAATATCTTTGGATATACAGGGTGTCACGTTTTTGCCTGGCAAATTAAAATGTATGTTTTTTAAATGGAACACCTTATATTTTATTTTGTGATGAAATTATTAACACCCTAAATTATTGTAAAGACGAGTTGCTACAAAAATTTTTTATCAGGTATGTGTGTGGTTACCTTTTAATAAAAGCCTTGCGGATCCACTCCTGTGATACCTGTCTTAAATATAATAAAGATTACGTTGAATTAAATGATTTTTCTTTTTATTGCTTTTTAAAGGCATATGATAACGCCAATTCAGATACATTTGGAAATCTGCAACTGTCAAATGATGAATTTGTAGAACTAATATTCAATATTGAAAAGATATTTCAAAATAATTTTGAAGGATTGGCTACAAAAAATAACATTTGTACCACACTTTTAGAATTAATTAACCCAATACCCTTTAGTCATCCATGCTAACGTTTTCCAAAAGAATAACCTATTTTAATGTATGTTTAATCTCAATAACTAAAAAATATACTGACAATTAGTTTGACAGAATTGTCATTTATTTAAAATTTTAAAAATAATAGCTTTCGGTTGATCAAAATATGAACGGTGATTGGCGAATTTATTTTTTTTGCAGTGTTCTCACTACTTAGAATGGATATGAAATATATTCGTTCAATTGAAGGCAATAGCATACTTTTTCGTTTTGTAATCTGTACATGGATATTAGCCAATCTACGAACATACTACAAAACGAAAAAGTAAGCTATTGCGTTCAACTACGAATATATTTCATATCCATTTTAGGTAGTGAGAACACTTTAACAAAATTAAATCTACAAATAGCAGTTCATATTTTGGTCACCCAACTCCTATTATTTAAAATTTTTTAAATAAGTGACAATTCTGTTAAACTAATTGTCAGTATATATTTTAGTTATTGATATTAAATATACATTAAAATTTTTGTGTAGACTCGATAAATAATAGCATTTTTATTGTGTCCACATTTAAAAAAAAATTTTAATCAAACTACATGATACTAATTTAATTACGAGTATTAAAACTAAAGTCCTGAAAGTTTCGGTGAAGATGAGGATAGAGCATCTGCCTTCCACGCAAAAAGCCCGGGATCGAATCTAGGCCGAGGACTAATTAATTTTTCATGTTTATTTTATTTTATAAATTAGTCAACTTCATAAATTATTTTAAAATTAGTTATTTTGTCTAAATAACCTAAAATAATTTTTTAAATTTGTAGATTTTCGTTAGTGGGTCGTAGAAAAAATATACTGACCACATCGAGTGGATTGTTCATATCACAATCAGACGATTGAGTACTCCGCCTACGACGTCGTGCTCAAACTTCGTCTTTGTGTGATATGGCTATCATATCCACCCTTGTTGAACAAACTACTATTTATTTGTTTTCTTGGTTTAAGTTTTACATCAGAAATAGGAACTAAATTAATTTACTTTTCAAGTTTTCTTGTAAAAATCGATATTACTTTCTCCAAGTACAAATTTAGTACCTACCTAAAATAAGTATTAATTATGTAATTTTGTGTAATATTGTAATTCAAATTTCACATTACTATAAAGTTTCAAAATTCCCTACTTCGGTATGGTCAGATAAAAATTGAATATATTATATTAATAAAAACTGTCAAAGTATTACTTCTACAAATCTGTATTTCAATTAATAAGAATACATCTAAATATAACCAATATTGTTAAAATAAAAGCACAAATTCTTTATAATTCCAAAATACCATAGAGTTCCCAGACCTCAGTCGAAGCATTCGTTTATCTAGGTATTAACCCTTTGCACGAAGAGTAATACTTGCCAGACACGGGGTACCACTTGATTTGCATCCACGAGCGTGACAAAATTCTTTAACAATTGAAGCCCTTGGTGTAAAAAGGATCCAAGCCACAATTTGTCGTGAAGTGACTGTTTTAGCTCAAAACATTTGTTAACGAGGATTTTACTAGCCACATACAAATTATTTTACCTCTAATCCGAAAGATGTGCTATTTTTCGTAATGTTTATATTTAAATAATTTTTTTAATTATATTTGACAGATTTAAAACAAATTAAAAATTTAATTTCCCAAAACTTACTTATATGGCATGTAACCAACCTTATTACGCGCCAAGGTTTTCAATTTTTTCAATAATAAAAAAATTGTTTAATCCGGGCCCGACTTTTCCCTCGAATCTAACAGAGATAGCACCATTCCGTCTTGCTTGGTTCTCGACCGCCAGATCAAAGACGCCGACACGGAGTTGTGGAGCTGTATTGTATAAGCTGTGGTTATAGGATACATCAAATTTTATTTTTCGAAAGTAATTTCTCCAAATAATTTTTATGGACTGATAAAACTGGCAAAGACGCGATAAACTAGAATCTGGTGGGAATAATGATTTGCCACATAAAAATGTAAACAATTTGGTCTCTTAGTTGTAGTTACGACGGACTTCTTCGAGATAAGGAATGTTCCAAGATGAATTTAATTTTTTATGACTCTGTTTTCCATAATTGAGTTATTTGTTGTAAAGTATTTACAGTATTCCTCGCAGCTTAGGAGCTTGGTTGATGATAAAAAGGTTGCTCATAGGATTTATAAACATAACAGAACTCAGGACTCCCCAAAATTATGAAATATTTAGTCAGCTAAGGGTACAATGTAAGCGTCTATCTGGAGAATGCGATTTAAATTATATTCTGTTGAAACCTCTGTTAAGATTAATGTTAAAGCCTTTTGGAATTTTGTAAATAGTTAAAGAGCAAATAACAGTATACCAAATAAAATGAATTTGGAGGACTCTTTAGCATGTTACAGTAGTAGCAAATCTCTTTGCAAGGCCTTTTTCTTTAGTTTACACCACACATATTCTAAATGTAAACGATGACCAAATTGAATCTAAAATTAATGTTTCCTCATACTACGAGTACATCCCAATTTCGACTATTTACGATAAATTGTCAAACCTTGAAAAAGGGTCAGGTCCTTACAATATTCCATCCTACTAAGGAATTGCAGCTTCATGCTGTCTCTCCCTTTCTTTCGTATTTTCGATAAATCAATCCATACAGGAAAGTTTCTCGATTATTGGAAACTTTCTTGTGTCATCTCAATATACAAATCAGGTAGCAAATCTGACATAAAAAATTATCAACAAATCTTAATTCTTACCACAATACCTAAATTGTTTGAAAACATTATTACTGATTACCTTACTTATGACTGCTCCGGCATCATAATTGAAAAACAATATGGTTTTTGTGCTTGAAATCAACAGTTAAATTTAGTCACTTATATCGACTTTTGTCAGTAGCCTTCGATAAAGCAGGTTTACAAATCGATTCTGTCGATACTGACTTTTCCAAGGCTTTTGGGGTATTGCTGCAATGGATTGGTAGCTATCTTACTAAGATAATTAAAATGGTTAGAGCTAATCACCACTATTCTGACTTATTTCAAGTAACCTCAGGTGTTCCTCGGGGGTCACATCTAGGGCCCTTGTTATTTAACTCATTTATTAATGATATAATTTGTTTCCGTAATAGCAAAGATTTATTATTTATTTTCAGATGACTTTTTCAAATTGTTAAAACCCATGATGGTGTCCATAGACTTCAGTCTAACCTCGATAATTTATCAGAATGGTAAGGCCAATAAATTCCATATCATGTGTTTTATCGTTCCCACCTACCAACATTTGATTATAACTTAAATGGGCATATCTTAGAATCTTTTTTTATCAAATTAAAGACCTTTGATCCTATTTTAAGCTTTAATCAACACATATCTTCTGTTATCTACAAATCCATGAAAATGTGTTTTATCAAAAGGTTGACCCATGATTTTACTGACACAAATGCAATTAAAATTTTGTATTGTTCGCTAGTCAGGCCCCACCTTGACTATTGCTCTTCCGTTTGGTCTCCACGCTATAAAGTACGAAAAGAGACAGTGTTCAGCACAACCTTCTCAGGTATATAGCTTTTAAATTAGGCGTTTATTGTGAATATGATTTCATGGAACAGTGTCTGAACATCCCCTCTTTGGAAATTAGGCGATAACAAAGATACCTTACTTTGCTATTTAATATTATAAATAGTAGATGTAATTATCCTGAACTTCTTTAAAAAATTAATCTTTTTGTTCAAACTGGTTTAATACATTTTGTTCCTTTTTATAAATCAACTTTTTATAAATCAAACCAAGCTTTTAACAGCTGCATTCTAAGAATGTTTAAATTAGCTAACTTGCTTAATGATCTCAGGATGTTCAATATTCCTTTTGCAACATTCAAAACTCAATTACTTAATTTTGAGCTTTATTGCTAATGTTTTACTGTGTATTTTCATTTTCTCTTTTTTAACCTTCGACTAACCTATTTTGTTACTTTAAATGTTCCTAGTTTGTATGACATGTATAATGTCTTTGTTTGTGCTACAGCGCCATAAGAATTTGTGATATTTATATTAAATTTTAATTTCTAATTGAACTGGGCTTGCCCGTAAATAAATAAATTAATTATATTAGAGAAGTTCTTCCTATTTTTCTCTGACGCAGCACCGTATAAGATAAAAGTCTTTTTTTCGAATATGTTATTTATCTTCTGCATGGAATAAATTTAGTTGCAGAAACTGTCAGAACAGAGTATTCCTTGGTAAATAAGCTAATTTCGAATTTTGACAAAATATTTTGTGCATATTATGAATAAATTCCGCTATCTACAGATACATAACGCAAGCTTGATTTGGTACTTTGCTATTGCTTTACTTCTCATTGCTATTAATTTTGAAATGAAGTGTTGTAAATAGACACTTAGATGTTGAAGTAAATTAATGATTTAATGTTACTTTTTTGCTTTGTGCCACTGATATGAAAATATTTCTTTGTCTTATAGAATGAATTTTAATTGAGTCTTATGGTCGTATGTTTCAGAACATTAAGTCAAAGTATTGCCATGAAAATGGAAACCAGAAACCGTTTGTGTGATATGCTTGAAGATGCCTCAACAAAAGTTGCTGATCGTTACATTAGCCAAGCGCAAATGAAATATATGAAGCAAGAATTGGAAATGCATCAGTAAGTTATTAATAACTCAGTATTTAATACATTGTACAGACATTATTTTTCAAACAACTCTCTTGAAGACGTTTTTTCTACATGGTTGTTGAATTGTTGGGAACTATGTTCTGTGTCTTCACACAAATTTATAAACTCTTCATTGACCAACTGAGTTAAAACAAAAATATAAAGTTAAACTTGTATCATCATAATAATAATAATATTACTTTCAACTATAATATTTCTAATATGTTTCAAATTCTTCCAATTTACATTCCACCTGGGTCCTGATCTCGGCACTGTCGCGCCTAGATTGATCTATTTTGTTCTGAACAAAAATTAGTCACTTTCTACTTGGGTTTACAAAAATTGTGTGTACATGGAGCTACTACAGATTTATGGGTTCAAGTTGATTTATTCAAACTTACCTATATAGCAATTTGATTGGTTTGGTCGCTAGGGTTCAACAAAGTTAAATAAACATATGTGTTTAAAAAAATCAAACTTTGTACGAATACTATACTCTGTTTTTAAACTAAGAGGAGCGAATTGAAAAGTCCTATTTACACAAGGAAAAATAACTAAAAAAGTAACTAGATATCATTTTAGCGGTAAATTTGAATTTGTCTTGTATCATTTCAAGAAAAACATTTCAAAACTTTGTTATGAATTCATTGAAGTCAAAGTTTTAGATAACCAACGAATAAAGATGACACTAAATTGTGCTCATTCCGTTTTTGATTTATAATTATTGTATTTTAGTTGTACTTTTATTTTTTCCTTACTTCGTCTCGTATCGCAGCTCGGACCAGAATGTTGGGAAGAGAATCGCCCATTCACCATTCGCCCAAGCAGCGCTCAAATTTCACAATTTCAGTAAATTGAGTAAAATGTCTCCCAACAAAATACAAAATAATTTACATTTTGAGTTTAACATACAGTTTTAATTCATTGTTTTATAAGTAACTGTGATTAGAAAATTATATACCTATTATAATAACAGAAAAGAAAGTAAATAGTAGGTTTTTCAATTTGATGGAAAAATTAGAAAAATAGGTATGCCAGTTCTATTTGTTGAAATGAAATTAAGAACCTATTATTACCTACCTATTACAAAACATATTTAGGAGGGACTGAAAAATATGTATTTGAAGAAAAGCTTATTTAAAATGAAGAATTTTGGCAGGTACAAAAAAATAAAGTTTATTTTTATATTTCTTTATAGGTATAGTTTAATTTGTAATATTTTTTCTTAAAATTAAACTACAAGAATACCATTAGTTGTGTGGATTTCCTAATTAAATAAGGGTTCTTTCTTCAGGTAAAATGTAGCAAAGTTCTGAAGTACGATACGATATGTTTGCAGACAAGTGTTTTGAAATGAAATAAATCAAATCTATATGAATTTTGTCTCCACTAACAAGATGTTATATTCAACAGTCGAAAGTGTAAACTTGTGGGCAATAGCTTATTAAATGTATGTAGAAGTCCAAGAAAGTGCAATGGTACCAGCTTTTACTATAATAATAATGGTTTTTAGAATTCTCCTGTTTTTTTGTAGATATGATTTATAATTGTTGCTTAAATTCCACATTGTGTATCAGAATGTCTTTGGTCTTCTTGAAAACATATTTTTATACAATATAAAGCAGATGGTATATTTTTTTAAAACATCCTCAAGTCTTTCGAAAACTAAATGTTTATTTGCAGGTAAGATAATATCTATCTTAATTTTGTATGATCATTTATTGTATAGACAAATAATTAAATAAAAATTATTAAGGCATAAAAAAGGTAATTTGTAACTTTGTGTCAGCAGAAGGAGTTCCTACTCCCAATTTAATATATTTTTTACAAACAAATAAAATGTCTTTAGTATGATCGGTAGATATTTTTAATAATTCAGCACTACATATGTTTCGGAATCTTCTGGTGCAGTCACAGCTTTTCAAAATTTAAAAAACATTTAGGGACATAAACACTTTAAAATGATCATGGACGAAACCCATATTTTGTGATAGTGTGTAGGTAGCTTACAACTAGTTGATTAAATTAAAATCTTCGAGCATAATGCTCGAAGATTAAAATACACGTTTGACAAATCTCTTTTACACATTCGCAGAGTTTAATATGTGTAAGTGTAGTTATAATCTTTGCAGTCTATTTTATAAACTACATTTAGTTGAGTTGCTTTCTTGAGTTTGGGTTTAAAATTTTAAAATAAGGTTTCGTTTACGAGGAATTTTTTACATTATATCAAGAGAACATTTTTGACACTTGTTTGGAAAGTCCTTTTACATATAGCAATTTAATGTTTAAAAAAGGGTGCCACACCAAATGTTACAGTAATAACACTTTATGCTTTTGACTATTTAAGTACCAAGCTAAAATAATAAAACAAGGTATTTGTTTTAGGTTAAATAATGAAAGTTTTGGAGGCCACAAATTATGGACATATTCAGATGGCAATAGCACTTATAAATATATCCAAAATATTTTGTAGTTTTAAATGTTAATTAACAATTTTGTAAATGGTTTATTTTCAAATAAATAAAATTTACTTTAATATTTAGTTATATTTTAATCATTTTGATTAGAAATTCATTAATTTTTAGTTTAAAAAAAATTAGTAATAAAGTTGTATTTTTTTTTAAGTAGAACACCAAAAAAGCAATATTTACCAAATTATAATATTGCGGAAAAAATGCTACCATATATTCCTGAGGCTTAAATATAACGATTTAACCCAACTTATATCAGTCCAAAAGTGGATGATTTGAGAAATACAAAGTTCAATTTAGTTTTTCATAAATAATTTTTTTAATATTTAATGTATTTTTAAAATATTTGGTTAGGAAGTGTTTGTGGGGTAAAATATTTAAAGCTGCTCCCATTTTTATTGTAAAATTTAAAGGACGCCTTTTTTATAAATCCAATTTCTCAAAAACGGCTGCTCAAATCTACTCTTACCACATACCTTGCAGAACAAGAATTTTTATTTAAGTTAAATACAAAGTGGCGATTAAATGTGTGTAAGGTACAACAATTTTACAATAAAAATGAGAGCAGTTGTAATTTTTGTATACTACACTGTAGTTTTGTATTTTTTTTTAATATGGGCTAGAAAAACAACATGAATAATAGTATCTTTATTTTGTAAATTTGTTATATTTTAATTAATAATAAAGTTTGAAAAATAAAACAAAAATACATAAGAGGTGCCTATACAACATAATAAGTGAAAAGACAAAGTACATCTTGACATTTACATTGAATCAGAAACAAAAAACACTAAGTACTCAATATATTAATCTACATCAGAAGATTTATTTATGCCTCTATCAATTCTATGGGATTTAACTCGCAGTGATATGGGGCAGCCACTACACAACTTTATTGGTTTCTTTAGCCTTTACATCGACAACATTAAAATTATGTGCATCTCTATGTTGCCAAATTAGGTGTAAAAGTTGATATCACTTCATATTTAATTAAATTTAATATTTTTAGTTTTGTAACCATTCCTGTCAGATTTTCTTGATGACAGAGGAATTTTTTCAACTTTTCGACTATGATATGATACATTTTCCATCACAATCATAGCATAATTAGAAAACTTTGTAAAAAATGTAGAAAACCAATTCTAAAATACTTCGGATTTCGTCTCGTCAAGGTAAATGAATTTTCTACAGAATTAGCACGTATATTAAGGCACCTGCTTTTGACTTTTCAGGCCTGTTGATAAACCTTATTATGATCTTCATCAAAGTAGAAGCTTGGCCTGTTTCATTTTCTATATTGTTTGATGGATTTTAAATCTACGTATATAGTGTTCTATCAATACACTTTGACAATTTCTTTTCAAATATCTAAAAAAATATATACATAATAAATAAACAGTACATTTGACTGGTCAAAGTTACAAACTTACTTAGTTATTATATCTCAAGAAAGTATATAAAGATGAATAATATATTTGTGGCAAATCTAAATATTTCAATTCTAGCAAAATTTTATTCCATAAATACTTTTTAGACTAGATATTGTTCCATTATTGCGGAATTATTTCAATAATCGGTAAGTAGTTGACTTTGACCTGTAAGAAAAATATTGATTATTTAATATTATTTTTAATTTGAAAGTAATGAGTAAAACTTACTGGTAGCTTGAGAAATTTTGGATATAACATCAACAATTTTGGTTTTCGTATTATTATCCAATACCTATTTGTACATATTTATTATTTACTGCTTTTCTGAGAGACTTGAATAGCCTAAACTCTTTCGTTTTCGTTGTTTTGATGGACTCCGCGAGGAACTGTTATAATAGTATTCGATGTAGAAGGATCCATAATCGTAGAAATTCAATACAATTGCTTACTAAAGTTTTGAAAAGAACTGTTATTAAAGAAATAAAATAAAAAAACTAAGTAATAATGATGAGATATCAAAGCAATAACAAAACTTAAATCATAAAATGTCAGAATCGAAAATAGAACTGTCAACCCCTGTCAACAGTAGCTAAAAAGTGATGTGTGAAACTGACTTCAATCTGACCAATTAGAAGTCTACAGAATTGCCAACTTAAATTCAAATCGCTCCTCTTAGTTTAAAAATAGAGTATAGGTGTTTTATGACCAATTATAAGCAGCAGGAACAATTTTTCTACATTCTATAATAATAATAATAATAGTTTATTTATCCTTTAGGATCATGTTACATGTAAAAATTATTAAAATACAAATAAATATAGGTACAGTATACAAAAAATATATCTAAGACATGCACATTAAAAATATACAATTAGAAAAACAGTTTCCTTAAAATATGGTGGTATTCAGATAAATTATAAAAACCTAAATCTACTAAATAGTTTAAGTTTTCTTTTAAAAGGTTCATATTTCTTTTTAGATTTAATGAAATCAGGGAGTTGATTAAAAAATTTAGGCGATTTCTCAAGTAATGCTGTTGAATGTCTTGGTTTTCTGAATAAATTTGCATTCCTAGTTGATTATTCATGGTAGTTTGAATATACTCTACTCTACTCTACTCCAATCTACTCCTCTCTACTCGATTCTACTCTCTACTCAACTCCACTATCCTCCACTCTACTGCAATATAATCCACTCTACTCCACTCCATTCACCCGCTCCGTTCTGTCTTGTTCTTAATACTCAAAATAAAGTAAGTGTAAAAATTTACGCAATTTACTAGTCAAAATTTTTAAATATAGGGTGAGACATGAAAAAAACCAATTTTTCTTTATTTTTCTCTTTAAATATCTTTTGAATCATACTGTATATGGTTTAAATAATTATACATATTTTAAAATGGTTTGATATCAAAAATTTTTAATAAAAACAGCATACAGGGTCTACTAACTTTTTGACTCACCCTATATAGATCGTAATAGTTTTTAATTTTGATTATTTAAGTGAAGGCTATTACATCGTGATATTCATTTGGAAAATATTTCCATGCTAAAGTAAAAATTAAAATTCGATTTTCAGTAATTTATGACTCACCCTGTAACTAATAATAATTTATTATTGTTACTTTATAAAAGGAGACCTCCTTTTCTAAAGTTTTTTTTTCTTACAAATTTATTTATATTTTTTCTTGTAGTTCTTGGGTTTTAGTTATTTGTTGAGGAAATGAAACTCGTGTTAAAGTAAAGTAAAGCTTTCGGCCCTGCTAAGGGCGCATGGTAGTTGCATAGCAAAGTAAAATCACAAAAAAAAAAACCAGTAAAATTTTTCAATTTCCGGACCTTTATGAGGGCCCGAAAACGTAAAAAAGGGGGCAACAACACCCTGACTATCGAAATTAATAACGGATACCACAGCATCAAATACCGGACACGAAAATGACAAAAATTCAATTACAGAATAATAAAAAAGGAATCTAAAACATTTAAAAATTAAGTACACACCCCATAAAATGATAAAATGTACTAAAGGTAAGCCAAAAATCATAACTAAAAACAATGTAAACTATATACTGTAAAAGGTCTTTACAAAAACATACCACATATTCCTTAGACCAAAATAAGTCGATTTAAGTAAAATTACCTTAGTACAAAGTTGCTTCGTTTGGGCTCCAGAGGGCCTTGAAGTTACAATTTTTAAATCGTTTTTCCCATATAAATTTAAAACGGCATATGCGATTTTGCTGAAATTTGGTATATTGGTAGAGTTTTATGTGGCAGAAAAAATGGTATTAAAATTTTGTCCGATAATAATACATAGGCGTAGAACTTGATTTTTTAAATAATTGCACCTTTAAAAATTCTACGGCAATGGAAGAAAAGGAGTTTGAGTATGAAATTTAGATTACGCAACTCATTTACTTTAAAAAAGGTACTCTTGATAAGACTCGATTACTCTCATGGTTTTGACGAAATTTGCATTTTAGTAATTTTAGAACATAAACAATAATTATTAAAATACAAACTTTGTCAAAACCATGAGAGTAAATCGAGTGTTATCAAGGGTACTTTTTTGTAGTAAATGAGTACCCAATCCAAATTTCATACTCAAACCCCTTTTTTGCCATTGGCGTAGAATTTTTAAAGGTGCAATTATTTAAAAAATCAAGATCTACGCCTATGTATTATTATCGGACAAAATTTTATACGATGAAAAACATAAAAATGTACTTTTTTCATATCTTCTTCAACACCTCTAATCGAGACTTTTAACAAAAATACTCGATTCTTGCCATGTACGATTTTTTGAGGAATAATTATTATTTGCCTGCAATACGTATACATATATTGTCAAGTTTTAACACCTAATCTCTTGTTAACGATTGAAAGTGTTCTATCTGACTCAATAATTAAAAAAAAACAAATGCGTGGTTTATTAATATGGCTGTACAATATACCAATGCAGAATATACCGATATGTTACTGACATTAGGATTTTGTGAAGGAAATGCTCGAGAGAGGGTGTACTCTGAAAGGTTTCCAAATCGTCGTGTACCTAGCCACCCAACTTTTACTGCTGTTAAGAGACGTCTTGGGGAGACCGGTTCCTTTGCTCCCAACACTGTTGATAATGGAAGAGAACATTTTGTAAGGATTCCTGAAGTTGAAGAAGACATTTTAGAACGTGTTGAAGAAGATCCAGAATTAAGCACCAGACGAATTGGAAGGGAACTAGGAGTAAGTAAAGATATCGTTCATAAAGTGCTTAAAGAACAATTTCTATATCCATACCATAAGAAGCCAGTACAAGAATTATTAGTCCATGATCCTCAAATTCGTTTGGGTTTTTGTCGATTTGTTAATATGCAAAGAGAAAGAGATCCAAACTTTGTCAAGAAGGTTCTCTTTACCGATGAAGCGGGTTTTACAAGAAGAGGTATAACTAATACCCATAATGAACATGTTTATGCCGTTGAAAATCCGCATGCAATAAAGGTAAACCATTTTCAGCACGAATTCAAAATTAATGTGTGGGCTGGAATAATTGGTAATTTCATTGTTGGTCCTGTCATACTTCCACGAAGATTAACTGGAGAAAATTATTTGGATTTTCTACAAAATACAGAATTGTTAGAAGATTTACCTCTCCAACTTCGGAGAGATATGTGGTTTATGCAAGATGGAGCTCCACCACATTTTTCTTTAAACGTTAGAAACCACTTGAATGAACAATATCCACACAAATGGATAGGCAGAGGTAATGACGCACCTGTAAACTGGCCACCACGTTCCCCAGACCTAACACCGATGGATTACTTTTTATGGGGACATCTGAAATCCACAGTTTACAGGGAACCTATAGAAAATGAGGAACAACTCTGGCAACGTATTCAAGATGCAATAAACAATCTTAGAGGTGATGAAGAAGTTATGGAAAGGATACATTTTAATTTTCTTCGACGTATAAATCTTTGTATGCGTGAAAATGGTGAACATTTTGAACAATTTTTGTAAAATCTCTATTTTGATTATGTTGTAAATAAATATTTTTGTGAAACCTATAAACTCTAAATTATTAAAACAGAAATTTAGCGAAAACCATGAGAGTAATCGAGTCTTATCAAGAGTACCTTTTTTAAAGTAAATGAGTTGCGCAATCTAAATTTCATACTCAAACTCCTTTTCTTCCATTGCCGTAGAATTTTTAAAGGTGCAATTATTTAAAAAATCAAGTTCTACGCCTATGTATTATTATCGGACAAAATTTTAATACAATTTTTTTTGCCACATAAAACTCTACCAATATACCAAATTTCAGCAAAATCGCATATGCCGTTTTAAATTTATATGGGAAAAACGATTTAAAAATTGTAACTTCAAGGCCTTCTGGAGCCCAAACGAAGCAACTTTGTACTAAGGTAATTTTACTTAAATCGACTTATTTTAGTCTAAGGAATATGTGAAAAAAAAAAATTTCTTTTCTTGTAGAACAACTGTCAATAATGTACAAATATTTTTAAAAATTAAAAAAAACTACTGAAGAAGGCCCTGAGCAGGTCCGAAAGCTTTACTTTACTTTAGCACGAGTTTCATTTCCTCAACAAACACCTAAAACCCAAGAAGTACAAGAAAAAATAATAATTTATGTCATTTTTTATGCTGAAAATATTGTCTGATATCAGTAAAGAATTATTCTCGAAAAATATCTGTAATCGTAGTAGTATCTTAAGAGGCACGTCCTTTTTAAAAATGGTCAGAAGTCCATTTATATATAAGCCGGCTGCCTGGTCCTTTGTGGTAGATCCATGTACATTTCCCGACATCCTGTATGTTGTATGTGCAACAAAGTGTCTCTGGAATTTTTGCCATCTTCTATATCCATTCAAAACGAGTTGTTACATTTCATATTTTTTACAACTTCCATTAGAGATTGGAAACAAGAATGTCTATTTCTTACTGACGAGTTTTTTTTAATTTTTGAAATTTCTTTTACAGGTCCAATCTTCAAGAATTAACTGAAGTAGACAATATGATACAAGAACTCCTGGCCCATTACTCGGAACTTAGTATTCTATTTGATGTGGAGAAGAAGGAAATGGAGAGATATGAGGTTTTTTTCAAACAAATTATAAAGTACATGAACAGAGATATGGAAACTTGTTTAATAAGGACAGTGAGTAAAGTATACAAAATTTCCTCCCTACTTCATTCATAATGTGAAAATTATCTATTTTGAACGGGTATGAATTAATTTATCAGGGTGTTTCATTGCAAAGTTTCCATATCATAAATGCATACATAACACAATTAGACAATTCCAAAAAAACCTATATTTGTTGGATGTAACCCCCTTCCTAACTGAGTTATAGAGTGTTTTATTAATTTTGGTAATTTCTTTCTCGACTCTTTTTTTTTTTCATATTTCACATAGGAACTTGCTTTTATATATCCAAGCGATTAAAATTTTTGTAAGTAAAAAATATACTACCGGATTAGGATAAAATTGACAAATTAAAAATTGCTTTATACATTTATAAAGAGCACAAAAAATTGAATTCGACGACGTATGTAATGTTACTACTAAAATTTAAAGTTCAAAATTAGAGTTTATCAGAATTATGTGGCTCAAAATGTAATTAGTGAGATTTTTATTAATTGTATGGCGTTTTAATTAATATAATATATTCTATTGTACTAATTTTTAAAATTTATGTTGAAATCATTTTCCTCTAACCAATCAAAATATCTAATTAAAGGTCTATTTTTGGAACGGTTAATATTCATTTAATATTTTGTAAACACTCTGTATAAAAATATTTTAAAATCAAGTAATCAGTATACCTATAACTAATAAAAGAAAAACGCAAAAATTAGGTAATTTTATTGTTATTTAAAAGCCATGTAAACGAACAGAAAAGAACACACTAAAACTATGAATAAAATAATAATTGAATTAATATTTATCTACTAAAAACTATAACAAATGTTTGAAATGAAAATCATTTTGTTCAATACACTTCTGTGCTTTTTTAAAAATATATCCTAACAGACTTTCTAGTTACGTCCGGGTTATTCTGTAATTCAGCACAAGCATCATAGATCCTTTCAAGTAGCTATTCTCTACAATTTATTTATTTTAATTGCAAAATATTCGCAAATTGACACAGAAGAAAAATTTTCAGCGCTAAATACTTTTGACAATTACAGCTGTCAGAACAAAACATTAATATCATGTAATTGTCATTAAAAATAAAATTAATTAAGTAAACTAGGTAAGAATAATTTGGGTTAGGTATAATTGGCACATTGTTTTAGTTTTTTAAATGCCACTCACTATTATTTATTAGACTGTTCATTGCTGTTGGTTTTCTTTTTGTAAGTTAAATTGTTTTTACGTTATAGCGATTACACCTTCAAGAGATATCACGGTCGGTGGTGCGAAAGTCCATTTACCATAGCGTATGGGGATATTTACTTAATTATTGCATTATTCTTTTATTAGTTATGACTGTACCAATTAGTTAATCTTAAAATGTTTTTATATGACACGTTTATGAAATATTAAATGCATGTTACCTGTTATCCTAAAAACGGACCTATAATTAGATTTTTTTGATTTATTGGAGAAAAAAATTATTTCATATTTTATAAAAATTACAAATTTATTTCACTAGATGGTAAATTATTAATTAAAATAAAATGGCACAACTGAACGTGCGGTCCCTAAAGGTGAATCTGATGTTTAGTCCTAAAAATTACTAAATCACTCATCAAGCGTACTCATGGTTGATGAGTGATTTAGTAATTTTTACGACTAAACATCAGATTCACCTTTAGGGACCGCGGGTTTAATTGTGCCATTTTGGGTTCTCTGAAAGAATGTTCTGCAGAGCTCGGGCTGGCACATCAGAATCACGCGAGTGACATTTTTGTTTTGTCTTGACATCAAAATAATAATATCATTTATATTAAACATTTATTTAAATTTAACTAACAATAAATCAAATCTTTAAATTCAATACTAACAAATTTTGATCTCCGTTAACCACCTCCAATCACTCGAATCACACTCGGAGAAACATGTTCCACACTGAGGTGAACGCACCTCCTTTTCTTGACATTTGACAAGTCAACGTCTTCAAGTGTCGCTTGTCACCACTGTCATGTGGAAACGGTTAAACAACTTGAATAAAAATGAATAGATAAATTTAAATTTGAAAATATTAATAATACTAAGATTATGATTTAGCAAGTTGTAAATATCCCGAAATATCTAATTTTGGGAGTGAGGATGACCAGGAACTTGTTGGATACGTTGTGGACAGTAGGTAGACTTTTTTTATAATTATAATGTATATAAAATATATATAAAAAAAAACTTTCAGTTTTTTTACTTTGGCCTTCTGCGTTTAACTTTCTTCATATTAAATAATATTGTATTTTAGATTCAAATTTTAATATATCTTCCACAGTCACCCTCTATTTGTAAAGTTCTTTAAATTTTAACTAATTTTTTAACTTGTTTTCAATTTTGTGAATAGTGAAGGTGGCATAATTCCTTAATTCCACACAAGCTAACTTGCTTCTGGAGATCAGATCAGATTTGATTTGTAAGGGCCTATCCCACACTCACTATCCCCAATACCAGTTTTTTGTCACTTTGTTTGTTTCTTGTAATTGTTAATTATTTGTTCAAACAATCGTATATATACAATTTTAACTTTTGACTTAAAAGTCTTATTCAGATTTTATAACATATTTTTTTTAAATTGTAAGTTTACATCCACAATTTTTGTAGATAAGCACTGATGATGGCAAATAAGCCGAAAGCGCTTTGCGTTTATTAATTAAAAAGTTTTGCACGAAATACAAGTCTTTCCTTTTGAATCTAAACTACGTGCACACAGCTGTCAACCTTTTTTGGTTATTTTAATATTGCCATATACTCTGATAGCCAAGCAGTTTTAAAGGCAATTCTCTCACCAGAAATCAAATCACGACTGGTGAATGTCTAGAAGACCTGACAGAGCGAAGTAGTCAAAATAAGGTGACCTTAGCCTGGATTTCAGGCCATGAGGGATATCAGGGCAACGAAAAGGCCGACGAATTAGCCCGAGAAGGCTCAGATAAGGCCATGACAGGCCCTGAACCCTTCTGTGGAGTTGCTAAGGCATTGTGCAAGGCATCCATTTAACAATGGATGCAAAAAGAGTCTCAGGAATGGTGGAACAACTATCCAAGACTGAGACATGCCAAACAGTTCATCAAGGAACCATCGGCCAAGTTTACGAAAGACCTACTGGATCAAAAACGTCAAATCGTTAGGATAACAGTAGGCCTTCTTACTGGACACTGTCGCCTCAAAAGGCACATGAGTGTCATAAAACCAGCAAAAGAAGCAACTTTGTGCAGGTTCTGTGAAGAAGAAGAGGAGACATCATTCCACGTCCTGTGCCAATGTGGAGGCTTGGCTGGAATGAGGTTTCTAACATTGGGCGAAGAAAAGCCAATTGCATGCAACTACATGCGGGAGCCACTGTCAAAGCTACTAAGTCTAATAAAAAAGACCAGGCTAGACGACATACTCTAAAACAAACGGAGTCCCACAATAGATCTGAAAAGGTCGCGGTGGACAAGGACAAATAACGTCCAACTCCTAATCTAATGTAATCTAATCTAGTCTTCCTCAAGAGTTACATTTGAGACCTGTACTTTTTAATATATTATGTATCAATGACATTCAAAATTGTTTTGAGGAGTCTCAAATCCTTTGCTTTGATGATTTAAAATACGCATGCTTGTTAATTTTTTTTGACGACACAGTTAAAATTTGTTCATTTAAACTAATGGTACATTAAAGTATAACATTCAAAGAATATTGTGTCAAATTTTCATGTAGAAATATTAAAAAATACGGAAATGGTAGCAATTATTCAAAAGCGTCTCGGAATAAAGTAGAATTGCGGTGCCCCTCCTAACTCGGTGCTGGATCATCAGAAATAAAAAAATGAAAGTTCTCTCGTTAGATAATCGTTTTCTTCAGGTAACGCTGGGAGGGTTTTTCGAAATTTAAATTTGTCACTTTTTGGGAACACTTTGAAGTAAAAAACGCGATTCTTGCGAAAAAATAAGCTAATTTGTTATTATAAAATGAAAAAATATAAACAAATTTGAAAAAAACTCTCCAGCGTTACCTCGTAAATTATGTACAGAAATAGTGTTCAAAATTTCAAAAGGATAGGTGCAGTAGTTTTGAAGTTATGAGGGGCACTGACTTTGGAAACATGTGTTGTGAGAAAAAGGCTTTAAAGTTTTGAACACTAAAAAATTTGGAATAAAACGTTCATAAGCGAATTTTATCGGCTTATCTAACACTGAATCATCGATGCCAGGTCCATAAAGGATGTTGCTATCATTCATGATGTCTAAAGCATCTTTTTTGCTCCTGTCTACGACGAATTCACATTCATGAGCGCTTGATCCACTACTGATTCCCATGTCTTGCATATAGGTTAGTAATGTAGTGAGCGAAACAGCTGCGAGACAAGGGCGGCTCCAAGACGAATTTTCGGTGGGGGCCATTGGCTTTAGCCGTTCTCTTTTTAGCATATTTTTTTGAATAAAATGCTCATTAATCGTAAGAATTTTCATCTCGGTGGGGACCATGGTCCCTATAGCCCTCTCCCCTGGAGTCGCCCTCGCTGCAAGGTAACAACAGAGCGCTCGGGCCGGGCAGCATATTTACACATCCTCCTATATGACGGCACCGGGGTGCTGAAACCTGTTCGCCTTTGTAGCCTACAAGTACGCTACAAAAGCTCATTGATTTAGACACCCATACAAATTTTATGTTATGTGAGACTTTACTTTTCATTTTTAGCTGTGTCCAGGCCGTTGGCGTCTATGCCGGTAGGCGTAGCCATGTATGGGTTAAAAATTTTTGGTGGCGGCGAAGGCGCCACCCTACGAGAAGTCGTTGCTTCGTTTTCTTCTTGTATATTTTCTTTTTTTTTTTAATTCCAAAACACTTCAAATGCGTCATTTGAATGACATCATGTCTATTAACGGCATTTTAGTACACTTAACTACAGCCATCAGTGTTGCCAACCGGAGGGAAATTTCCCGTTTTGAGGGAATTTTCATCACAAAAGGGAAAAAGGAAAAAGTTAACTCAAAACGGAAATTTTTTACTCCAGTCCAAATTGTGAAAAATGAATAATTATAAAAATAAATAAAATTAAAATTGTTAATTCTTTAATATATTTTTAAAGTTTTGTTAAAAGAATCATGTTTTTTAGATTATACTTTTTATACTTTGTTATGTACATTCGTTATCTTTTAATACATATTTTTTGGAAACTGTGTACATGCTTGTATTTCTGGTATAAAACCGATTTTGTAAACGGGAGGGAATTTTTTCATAAAAGTTGGAATTTTTAAGGTAAGAAGAGGGAAAAAGCTCACTTCGAGGTTGGCAACACTGAGCCATTGTTTCATAGAATGCAGATAAGCTTGCTTACTGATTCCAGCAATAAGAGAGGACTCATGCATTGGTGCCTAAATCAATGAGCTTTTGTAGCGTACTTGTAGGTTACAAAGGCGAACAGATTTCAGCACTCCTGTGCCGTCATATAGGAAGATGTGTAAATATGCGGCCGGGCAATATATTTTCTGATCGCTGAGTCATGTATGAGGCGCGGTTACTCAAACCGCTGTATCTTCGTTAGTTTTGTTCCGATTCATCTCAAATTTTCATACAATATTCTTGAAAGGTTTTCCATTCACAAAACGAAATATAAAAAAAAATACAAAAAAAAGTTTAAAAACTTTACTCCCCCCTTAAACAGAAAACATAGACCTATTGAATAAATCTATAAAATTAATGACAACACTGAAAAGTATTACAGAGGTAAAAGATTTAGGTGTGATAATAGATTCTTCCCTTTCTTCTCAACCCCATATAATGGCATCGGTTAATAAAACATTAAGAATGTTGGGTTTCCTTTAAAGAATTACTTCTGATTTTTAAAATTTGATGTGTTTATAGATTCTTTATTGTTTCTTAGATGTTATATTGAATATGCCTCCTCCATGTGGATTCCTTTTCATTTATATCTAATCCATAATATAGAACAAGTTTAAAGACATTTTTTATACATTGTTGCATTCAAACTGTTATCGCCTTTGTCAGTTTTAAATATAATTATACTCCTAGAGTTGGGAGTAAAATAAACTGCCTCACAAGTTGTTGCCAAAGATTTGACCCACAATCCTCAAAATTTTTAAGTACATTTACCTCATTAGTACCAGGTAGAAATTCGCATCAAATAAAGAGAAAATGCACATTAAATGCAAAATATGGACGTCTGCCGCTCCATGCCGTCCCGTTTTTGAAACAGACGATATAATTTTTTTTTTTTTCAAAAACGCCTTTGATATTGTAATTTTTGCATATAGTTAGTTTATTGGTTAGTCATTTGTATGATAAGTATCATCAGCAGCCTCTAATATTCTGAGTTGTTGTCTGCGAACCATTCTTCCCTCGTGCGTGCTCTCATGTGCTCTCAAGTCAGAGATCGTGACGCGCAGCTGCTACTCTGGTCTTTACGCCACCTACTTTGTAACTCGCCTGTGACAAAAGTATATTTGATAGTGAGAGTTGTGGACAAGCATAAATAGGCTCAACACTTTTGCCATGTTACTATTAAAGTTATGGATCTGTATTTGTCATAAATATAAAATAGAATATTCTCATACCAAGTAGTTTTTAAATTGCATCCGCCATGAAAATCAAGAATAATAGGTAATAGGTGAATCTGAACCAACTATACTTTATTTATCGTTTATAATTAATACTGTATTAAATAAGTAAAACATAACAAACATAATTATTTTTTTAGATATTTATAATATATGATATTGAATTTGAATTGTAGGAAACGATGAGAGAAATCATTCAACAGTATCAAAGCACCGCGCCAGATGAAAAACTACACCTGATGAAAATGATCATTAATTTGTTGTCAAGTAATGAAGAAAACGTTAGTATCGGCAGAGCTTACGAATTAATTACAGATTTTAAGAAACAGATAGACTTCCTAGAATTTAAATTATTTTCACCAGGCTTCAGTGAAATTAAATCCAAAGGAAAAGAACTGTAAGTTAATTTTATTTTTTTATAATTAAGGCCAAAGTACCCATTTTTTGACAGTTCAACCGAAACTAATCCGAAATAAGAGATCGTTTACCTTTGTCTTTATTTAAAATAGTCCATAGTACAACTAGAGGCATCTTTATTTCAATAGGAAAAATTTTTGAAACTCTGCTAAATACAAAATGATGGTCAAATGTACTAACAGGTGCACATGTTTGTCGGCTTTTTGTGAATTTTTTTAACAAAAACGATAAAAAACAAGAATATTTTGATCGATAATTGCTAAGATATGTTTTATATTTTCTAAATATTTTTCATAGGTCTATAAGCATATATATTAGGAGTATTTTAACCATTGGTGACTAAAATCTGTTACTGGCCCTAAAGTCGACAGTACTGTCAACTTTTGGTTCCATGACATTACAAACTATTTTTAAACATTTTTTATTTTATTTTAATGTCGGAATAATAAGAAACAGATATGAGTTTAAAAGACTTAACAAATTTAGAACCAATGCATGACACTCCTGTCAACTTTTGGGATTCCCTGTGTCAACAATTGGTTCATTTTAGTTTTCAGAAATATGACCCCTAGCAGAAGACAACTTCTAAAATACAATCCCGAAGATATGGCTGCTACTTTAGCAGACTGTGATAGGTGAATGTCGGTAGCCACTTCAGCAAAAAAACAATGTCCCAAGAATAAGTCTGTTGTATAAATATCGTGGAAAATCGCCCAGAAATGCTCAAATGGGCAAAAAGTCGTATCTGACTAAAGAAGAAGAAAAATATTTTATACAACTTAATATTTATATGGCAAAAACAGGATTTCCAATAGGCAAGGAGCAATTGTTCGATAGTGTCCAGCACCTAATAATGGATCTAAAAAGGCCCAATCCTTTCATCAACAATAGGCCTGGAAAAAAGTGGTACCATCTTTTTTTAAAAAGAAATCCACAAATAGGTGTTAGAACTCCTCAAAATTTAACATCGACAAGATCTTCTGTTACAAACACTCAGCTAAATGCATGGTTTTCTGAAATTATTGCGTATCTAAAATCCAGTAAATATTATATAATACTAAATTTTCCCGAACGAGTTTTTAATGCCGATGAGGCAGCATTTTTCTTAAATTGTAAAGGAGAAATGGTTTTGACAAAGAAGGGGCGAAAAATGTATATCAACTTGTAAATTCGGATGAAAAGCAAGGCCTTACTGTACTAATGACAGGAAATGCATCTGGAAATTTGGCTCCTCCCATGATTTTATTCCGATATAAACGTATCCCCAAAGATAGGTAAAACCGAAACCGGGTGGATGACGGGCGAAACGGTTTTTGAGTTTATAACAAATATTTTTCATCCCTGGTTATTAAAAGAGCATATAGATTTACCATTTTTATTATTTACTGATGGACATTCATCCCATTTAACTTTGCACACCAGCCGATTCTGCGAGAAAAATGGGATTATTCTCATAGCCTTACATCCCAATGCAACTCATTTGATTCAACCAGTGGACCTAGCTGTTTTTAGAACTTTAAAAGCTGGGTGGAAGGAAAATATAAAAAGATTTATAGTTGAACATAATGACAGTCCTTTAAATTTTTGTCCATTACTGAAAAAAGAAAATTGATGAGAGGCTTAGACCAGAAATATTAAAGAATTGTTTTCGTAAATGTGGACTGGTACCATGGAATTCAAATGCGCTTTAACTGATAAACGGCCTGCAAAAACAGGCTTAACAAAAGCAGAAAACCTAAGCCCGCTAAAGGAATTGGAACAAGGGATACGTTTTTTAGAGAAACACATTGAAAAAGACAAGCTGGAAGAATTTTGAAGTGATTTATGGGAAGGTAATATAGAGGATAGTTCATTATTTAAATTATATAAAACTGACTGATAATAAAAAGCTCAAGAAAATCATTCATCATACTGAAAATCATGCCCAGGAAGAAGAAGGCGAAAACAATCAAGAATTTGAAGAACAGCAAGAAGTAGAACCATAAAACGTTGAAATCAACAAAGATTTAAAAGAAGGCAGCAGACAGACAGCAGAAGTCGAGAAAAACAACAACAAAAACGTTGAAAATAGCAAAGATTTAGAAAAACACAATAGACAGACAGCAGAAATCGATGATAACAACAAAGAAAACGTTGAAAACAACAAAGATTTAAAATAAGGCAGCAGACAGACAGCAGAAGTCGAGAAAAAGAAAAAAGAAAACGTTGAAAACAACAAAGATTTAAAAGAAGACAGCAGACAGACAGCAGAAGTTGAAGAAAAATCTTGTATACATACAGATGTTAATTCGTTTGCCGTACTATCAACCAGTAAAGGAATGACGCCCATTAAAATTATCAGCAATATAATTATTTGTAGCCCGGATCCCAAATCCAGCATCAGCCAAATTGATAAATTAATACCATCTTCTTTTAAAGGGGCTTTAATTTGGCCAGAACCAAAACCTATTAAAAAGAAAAAACAAGTGAAGGAAAAAATTCCTTCAGTGGTAACGTCAAATCAATGGCAAATTTACTATGAAAACAAGGAGAAAAAAAGAAAGAAGAGGAAGATAAAAAAGAGGTCCGAAAAAAGACAAAAGAAAAAGGAATTGAAATAAAAAACAAAAGAAGAAAAAAACGTATAAAGAAAATTAATCAAAAAAGAAATTGAAATTGCAACGAAGAAAAAGTACATCTGATTTTGATACATCGAAAGAGTGGGAAGCTTCTAAAAACACTGATGATGAAATATCTTTTATGGAAAATCCTGATGAATCTTTTGATCTACCTATTATAGAGTCCAGTGAATATAAGGAAAATAATTATGTCCCTGGAAAGAAAAGAGAACATAAATATGTATGTGTTACCCAGACACTGCTGCCGGATGGCGATGCTGAAGTTGTGGGAATGAAAAGATGTGAAGATGGAAAATCTTTTAAACTAAATGAATCTGATGTTAGCGTCGTTAATATGAATCAAATAATAGAAAAACTGGCTTTTCCTGAGATAACAGCTTCAGGTCACCTACTGAAATATGAATTTTATAAAAACCTTTCCGATGTCGATGGTTATTCAAAATGATTTTTTTTTTTATTATTATTATTTTTGTTTTAAAAAATAGCGTTTGCAACTGTTTTTTATACTAAAATTTTTACAAAAAAACTAATACGGAAAGCCTCATTTTTAGCAATAAAAATTCTGGGCATGTGTTATTAGTATCTGGTAATTAGCACAATTATATAATGACAAAAATAATTTAAATTAATATCGATAATGTTTCAAAATTGCCTTAATATGTCGACCATTGGGCATTTTACCTTATTTCATCTTCATTGGTTTGTAAATAGAATTTGACGATTCTTTTTAATAGGTAATTTTTCTCTTTTTAGACGAGATTCTGTCAAAATTTTGCAGTCATTTTTAATTAGTGGTCCAACGCATCGAATTCTTTTAATACCGGCTGAACTGCAAATAGTTATTCGACAGGTCGAGGAGCTCTTGAAAAAAGAATTGGACTCAGTAGCGTCTGCGATGACCATCGTTTCCAAAATGGTAAGCATTACTTTCAAATTTGTCTTAAATTACTTTTATATCGTTTGTTTTATTTTAATTTTTTTAGAAAAAAATTCCAAACAAATGGCAGAATTATAGACGACAGTTGTGGATGTATTTTTATGCTGATCCAAATGGTCTAAAATTCATTTTACAGCAAATTCAAAAGGAATTTGAAGAATCTAAAAAGAATCGACTTGCATAACCATGCTTACATTTTGTAAATGTTGTTTTTTAATTCAATTAATTTATATATTTTGTATTTTTAAAGAAATGTTTTTTATGATAAATATGAATATTTTATTATTTTTCTCTATTTTATACCAACATTTTGATACTTCTTAGTATATTTAAATTTTTTATTGTTTTCCACTTTTTTGATTTGGCCATTTTTATACCGATTTCAGAACTGTATTTGCTCAAACCCTCATAAAGATACCCTCATTCACCACTTTCTACATTGTGTCACAATTGTCTTATGATTTCCGATTCCCTTAGTCTATGTTCTGGCCGAGTTGTCGAAGTAAACTCATTTTAATCTTTACGGGTACAGCTATATAACTGGTTGGAAAAAGATTTATTTGTTTATTTATCAGTTCTGGTTTCCGAAATATTTGGGCAAAACCGAAATTTGCTGTTTTCGTTTTATTGAATTAACACCTTTATTTTTAAAAATAAAAAAATACTAATTTTTTGTTGAAAATCAGTTACCGGTTAACTTAATAAAGAAACATTTTTAAATCGACGTTTCATTTTTAAGCTCCTGCATTAACCCTCGGGCGGGGCGCTGTGGCATTGAGTGCCGCTTTTTTTATAATTTACAGAATCCGCAAAAATGGTTAATTGCAGCTCATTTTCCATCTGGTAATGCTCAATGACTATATTTGGCAACCTTTTATGCAGAAACGAAGGCAGTTTATATTTTCACCAGTTGTCACTGAGACGTTGACGTAATAGGTGTTGAATTTACGGCATTCTGTGCCGCGTCGCGCCCGATTATGTAATTAAATTAATTCTAGTTTTTTCCAGTTATATTACACCACTTAAAAAATTTATCGCATGCATTTTTGACATATTCTTATTTATTTTTCATTTGCCAGGACTAGGACGTCTTGATGGCCCTAGTCTTCTTGCCTTAGCCACTCTACTTATTGACACTTTGTAACTTTTAAAATCTACGCAATTCCGATTTGATTGTAACCTTCAGAGAGACAGCCGTATGTACGTGCCTAAGAATTTTTTTAAATAATAATTTTTTGCAAAACTTTATGTTAATTGATTAAAAGCCCATCGTATTTTGCAGGAGCACAAAAAAGACAACAAATAAAAATAAACTACAAAAACATTCATATCTGCGTAAAAAAATATCAATTTCTTTGGCAAGAATACTACTTTATTTACCAATTTTACGAGTTCTGTAACGAAGTCTAAATTTTATTGTTAATTAATTTTAAAAATGTATATTTTAATTCCCGCCCGGGAACGTTTCGAAGAGTCCTTGTGTTTCCCAGAAATTCCTGTTTTTAATTAATTGCGAGCACCGCCGTAGGTTAAAATATTTCCGTATTTGCCGAAATCCGAATGGGCATTTGTAGATTCAATTTCATGTCAATTATCTACTTGTATTCATAAAAGGTTTTTAAAAGGACATTTTTTATTTTGGCACTAATAAACAGTCTGATTTGGTGGTGGTATCTCCCACTCCGAAATTGCCGGGCCTCGAGCTTGCCTGCTGAGAAGGCATAAATAAGACGAGCATATCAAATTTCTTTCTCTTTGATTCCCTACCACCGTAGGCTCTCTGCGTCTTGATTCCAGACCACCGGAAGCTCTTTGTGCTTCGCCCGTAGTCTTTGCCGATCTAGTGAGAATTTTGTTAGTTTCCCGACACACCGAGTGCTGCGAGTGACCCAAGTTATTCCCGTTATACAAGGTAGGCAATTTTATATCATTTCCGCTGTACAGTTAGTTTGGGACACCCGTTTAATAACCGGAGAATTTTGACTCATAGTAAGAGTGTCTTCATTTCACCCCTTAGTGGAAAACCGTTGGTAATTTTTACTCGAGGCAGGATTAAGACCTGATTTATGCGTATTGCAATCTCACAACTCTATCCAATCTCCTTTAAGAGACGCCCCAGTCAACGCTGGAGTGAGAGGTTTAACCCGATTTTATAATTTTTTTATCATTGGGAAGCCGCCCAGTTTATTTTCTTTTTCGGAGTTTGATTCGTTCTTGATTTATGCGCATCGCAATTTCAACGACGCTATCCAGTCTCCTTAAAAGAAGTCCGAATTAATTGTTCGTTCCTCACTCCACGTTTTTTTATCATTAATTATTCATTTATTCTTGACATAGTATTGAATTTTTTTTATTCTTGCTTTCTCCAAAATCATTCCATTTCCCGTCACCAACTAACTTTTGAGCGGCCCCGAATGTTTTTTGTTTCTCTAATTCGAGAACACCGCTTCGATCGGCGATCGCGCTTCGATCGGCGATCGCATATATCCAAAAGATTTGTTGTCCGAATTCTAGTGCTTTCATCGTACAATTTGGCCTAGAAGCCGTGGTATATTTATCAGTTCAACAGTTCTCTCTCCTTTGACCGATCGGCGATAATCCAATGCCGGTTAGAATCCGAATACGGGGGAGTGCCGAAATATTCGTGCAAATTAATAGTAACTTTCATATTTCACTGTAATGTTCAACCATTATTTATGAACTATTGGATAATTAATTTTCCGCATACAGGGAGCGTCGTAACTACCCGTGTTTATTTATTTTGGAGCTTCTTTATTGGTCAACCGTAATATTTAAAATACCCTGTTTTAATAATAATAATAAGTGTACTTTAGGAATTTGTGTAAGGTTGTGTTCATTTTTACCCTAAATATTTATAAATATTAAACAAAATAACTTAAGTCAGAAAAATAGAAACAAATATTTAAACTATTAAAAACCCTCTTATTTTGAGAGAGGTAGCCAACTTGAAATTAAATGTATCGAACAGCATTTTTCTTTATGACCCAGGAGATAAACCCCAATATAACATAAATCATTGACGGAGAATTTCTAAAATAAAATGTTTAGAATTATTTGTTCCAAAATAAATTCTTTGGTTATCTTCCTAAAATTTTTAAAAATACTAATTTATTTCAATTCTTGTCTAAAATTTTCTAGTCATTTTAATCAACAAAAATAAGGTGAGTATGTAATATCTACAGTTAGAAAATATTTACAATTCAAGATCAATTTAAGTAGCCCTGAACTTTCTTAGAAAGGATTAAAATTGCTAATCGGCAGAAATGTTATGCATATTTGTAAATTATTTTAGATTTATATTTCTACAGGCTTAAAATTTCCAATTGGTAAAGGTCTCCGTTTAATTGTCACTCATATTGGAGGAGACAAAGGATTTGTTGATAGAGGCCTGTTACAATTTGTTTCAAATTCTACGAAAGATATAAAGAAATGACTGTTGCTGTTTGTAATAATACAGCTGTGGCAGCTTATTTTTGACAAAGGATTCATTTGCATGTCCTTAAATAAGCGCCAAATACGTCAAACTGACGTGTGTTACTAGTTGGTTGATTGTAATGCATATTTTAAGACATTTTTTTTACTTATATTTAGACATAGTTATTTTGCAATTGTTTTTCTCATTGTAAAAATAATAAGCGGCCAAGATGTCATCTGTCAATAAGACCCAAGGTATCGCTACTGTAGGCGAGTTCGGTCAGTCAGGGGCTGGAGCGGGACAAATTTTAGGGTGCTTTTAAATGACATTTAAGCGTGTTAAACTGTCACTAATCGGACTAAACCGAACGCTAAAAGAGTCGTTTGGAGTTAAAAGTGTTAAAGGAGTTAAAGGAACGTGGCAAATCGAACGCAATGGTATTGTACTGATCATCTACTCAATAGACCTGACACATTTAAAAATATTTGTTTTCATTATTTGTACATGGACCAACGGTAACTAGATCGTGTTGGTTTCAAAGCTATTATTAGATGGATACAAATCTATGATATTGATAAGGTGACGCCATTCACACAAGACGCTCCTTACCGGAAGAAATCTCTCTTGGGCCGGGTTCCATGAGTTTCACCTGAAAATTTACTATTTTTAATTAAATTAAGAAGAAAATTGTTCTTTCTTATCTGCATTCTCTGTCTTCTACCTTCTCTATCACCACCTGGGCTTCTGATCAGCCTCCTGCACCTCTCCTATATTTCCTTTTCAGTTGTCCTTGGGATTATTGTTTACTGCGTATTTTCCTCTTTCATGGATAAATTTAATTTGATGATAAAGTCAATATTTTTTACCTTTGATTGAGGTTTATTCTCTAGCATACATACAATTTTATTGTATGATTGTTTATATTAACAAATCTTTATCAATCTTTCTAAATCCCCCTTTTTATTTCCCTCCGTATAATATAAACAATTATTTTACAAATTTCTATAGTTACATTTTTTCAACTACTGCTTGATCCTGGCTCAAAAAAAAGTAGCGTCCCCCAGGAATCCGTCTCAACCTCAATATTTTTCTGTAATAATACAAAAATAAAACAATATTTATATAAAAATGTATTCAAAAATAAATGAGTCTACCAATAGAACCTAGAATAAATCACATATAGGGCGAGAGAGGAAGAAATAGCTGCTCAGTACCAAGTATGATGATTGTCATATTCTTCACTACCTGAAAAATGTTTCAATGGAAAATCCTGATCCACCTTCATATTAATATGTATGGGATTATCCAAATCTATATCGTATTTTTGTAAAGGGCTTGAGCTAAAATTTCCTGATAAAGTTCTGTGTAAGTCTTTAATAATACTATCCAATTCCATTTGATTTAATTTCATCATTATTCTAGTCGAGCTGTTGTTGTAAAGTGATCTTTTAGATCTGGAAAGTAATGCTAGCGTAAATTCGCTTTGGGATAGGGGAGTGTCGTCTTCTCCAAACTCCTAAAATCCAATAAAATAATTGATATAATTCAATACAATCTAACTAATCCACTACTAAGTACTATGTAGTATAAAAAATAATACTAATTATATTTGGAAAAACTGGGAAGAGTTTACATCATAGTGACATTTTCTAAATATATTTTTGTATTTAAATTTCGAGTATAATCCTCTCAAAGACATCATGTTATCTTGTAAAATTCATTTTACATCAAGATTTTATTGTATCCACATATCAGACTTCGATCATATAAAATCCAATTACAATAAGAACACCGACACGCCATAACCATTGCCTACTTCGAATATCCGATACATATTTTCTATCAATAAATGAAGAATACATAAGTTGTTAGATATAAACTTAGATAAAAGAGACCAGAGATATAACATACACCGGTTTTAAACCTGCGCAAATGTTGCCAATTTCTAAAGAAGGGTTAACGGAGTGGGGGAACTGGGCGGCGACACGCGGCGACCCGAACTCTGTGACAGGGACCGGACTTTGTTTATTAGCAACTTAATGAACTATTAGGTTTATTTAAAAGGTGTTTAATCGAATTTTGTATTATGAAATCAAATTATCGTGATTTTTTAATATCAAACAGATGCCACGACATTTTATGTAAAGAGAAGACCTTTTATAGAATATTTCGTTAGCGTTTATTTACTACGGACTTTTCTGCAAGAGATTACAGTAAAATGTTGAAATAGAATATATTGTTAATAGAGCAAAAAATGTTACTCATTGTCTACGAGTATTATAAAAATAGCATGTGCGCAGGCTAATACTGCAAATCTACCCTTATGAGTTGAATATTATATTTTTTCTACGGCTATTACATATTATTAAAAATTAGTCAAAATGAGAAAATGCTGTTTTGTATTGTAACCTCAGAAAAAGTATAAAACTCTAGAAATGCATATGTCTGAAACCAGATAACATTTTAAAATTTAAATCTATTAAAAGTCATTTGGTCGCTAGGGATGAGTGATTATCGAAATAAATTATCGATAATTGAAAATAATCGATTATTTTCGATCAATAGATTATTTTCAAACAATATATTTTTTGTCATTTCCTTTAAAATCGACTACTTGATTATCTTTGAAAAATCAAAAATAATCGATTAATTAAAAAGCCAATTAACCGATAAATCAGTGTTTACAAAATATAATATAAATAGAATTATCGTATATTTTAAATAATCGATTATTTTCAAATAAACCATTTTTTTTTCGTCCATGGAAACAGATTATTCGATAATCTTTGAAAAATCGAAAATAATCGATTAATCAAAAATAATCAATTAATTAAAAAGTCGATTAACTGATAAATCGATTTAAAAAAAAAACAGAATGATCGATTATTTTAAATAATTGATTATTTTCGATCAATCGATTATTATCAATAATCTATTTTTATTGTATTTCCTTTAAAATTGTTAATTCGATTATCTTTGAAATACCGAAAATAATCGATAATTCCAAAATAATCGCCTAATCGAAAATAATCAATTAATTAAGAAGTCGATTCTATGATAAATCGATTATTACCAATTTTATTGTATTTCAAAAATATTCGATTAATTAAAAAGTCGATTAACTGACAAATCGATTTTCAAAAAAAACAGAATGATCGATTATTTTAAATAATCGATTATTTTCGATCAATCGATTATTATCAATAATCTATTTTTATTGTATTTCCTTTAAAATCGATAATTCGGTTATCTGTGAAATACCAAAAATAATCAATAATTCCAAAATAATCGCCTAATCGAAAATAACCAATTAATTAAGAAGCCGATTCTATGATAAATCGATTTTCCAAAAAATAAAACGAATTATCTATTATTTTCTAATAATCCTTTTTTCATATTTCCTTTGAAATTGATTATTCGATTATCGAAAATAATTGATCATTAAAAAGCTGATTATCCAATAAATCGATAATTTTAAAAAAATAACCAAAATATCGATTATGTAAAATAACCGATTATATTCAATCGATTATTTTCATATAATATCTTTGAAAAATCGAAAATAATCAAATAATTAAAAAACCGATTAAACGATAAATCGATAATTTTGAATAAATGTACTTTTTCTGTATTTCCTTTAAAATCGATTAATACATTATCTTAAAAAAAAAAACGAAAATAATTTATTAAAAACAGCGGATAAATCGATTTTCATTAAAAAATATCAGAATTATCGATAAATCGATTATTTTTGTAACCCCTATCGGTCGCTTGCTTTTATCTGAGCATTTAGCTCCAAAATTTAGAGATTCGGATTTTTTGATCCAGTTATCTTTGAAATCGCATTCGCTTGTATAATAAATAAATATTGCTAAATTTTGGATTTTTTTTAGTAAACGAAAATTATGTTCGAGTTGTTTAGGGGTTTGTAATGTAACATTTTATTAACGTGACTAAGGGTTGATTCCACCGTTGTGTTAAACGAAGTTTAAAATGACATTTTTACATTAACACTGTCATTTTAATCTCCGTTTAACACAACGGTGGAATCGGACCTAACTCCTGTAACTTTAGTATTTTTTTTTTGTTTATACTAGATTACTTTGTTTTAAGACTGAAAATTCAATGTCACTTTCGATTTGACCGCAAATAAGATGAACCTTGAAATTTTAAGTAGGTCATCCTGTATTTCATCTAATATTCTTAGAAAAATACCTTATAAAAATACCTTTTAAAATAAAATTTAGCTAGCAACTATGATTCTTTACCTCTTATTTATCTACCAAAAAGGGCTAAAAACTACCTTTAGAAAACATTCTTATAAAACTACTTTTTAAATACAAAATTTCGTTAGCAATAATGCCCTATTTACTATTTATTTAAATTAAATGTTCAAAATTTTACCCTTTTGTAAATTTATGTAATATGAAATCTGATGCTTAATATTTATTGAAACCCCTTAATGCGGATCTGAAGTATTCAGCCCAGAGAATCATGGCGCTTTATGTCAAAACGTTAATAAATATTTACCGCTGAAAACGAATATATTCATAACAGTAGTACTTGTATTATAAGTACATACAATTTTTCAAGATACATCGTGACATTTTGAACTTGAAATTGAATAACTAGAACACTTTAAATTGCTAAAATACCAACAAATAAATCAAAAAACAGCTGTCAATGGTGATTAAACTTAGGTGGAGGTGTGATCGCTGAATGGAAATCGGAGCAATTCGGGTGGCGTCGTGCAACAATGATTTTCAATTGGTGGGTTACTTTGGCTTAAAATAGACTGCATGCGCAGTGTGCAATGTTACATCTTCGGTCTCTTTAATCTAAGGATATAAACAAATATTTCCTATATTTCTATAAGATTAACACTTTACTAAACCCCCAATAGGCGGCGATAACTAATTGATTACTTTCCCAAATGATGACGTAGTTTTGTTCTTATTGTAATTGAACCTACCGGACACCACTGGTAGAACTGGTCAGATTACTAACAATATCGTGACCAGGAAGACCTAACTACTTAATCAGGTGAATAGGAGAACTATCAATAAATGTTACCCAAAACGAATCTGTTTTTATCAAAATACTTACTGTACCTTTTCTTTTTGAAAATTTGCAATTAATTAAAGTCTAGGAGAACTGTGCACAGAAACACTCTTAAATTAAGTAGTAAAGACGTACTTCTTTTTAAATATTATAGCAAATTGTTTATTAGGAAAGAAACAAAGGCAAATAAGGAAGGAGGAAGAAAACAAGGTTGAACAAAATATATAGACCAGTAAGCAGGTAAAAAATTTAACATTAATTCTAATATTTTTTAAACTTCGTGGTAAGATAAAATACCGAATGAATCGAAACTAGACGATTTTGCAACTCGAAATAGTGGCGATGCATGGGAAATCCCTACATTTAAATCAAAAGTAGCAAAATCGGACGACAGAAAATGCTTGCAAAGGGATTTTTACTTTCCTATCTGTATACAGATATAAGAAAGTATAGGAATCATGATTTTTTTTCGACCTCGAGTTTCAACGGATTTTTACATTTTGAGGTCCCCTGAATCCGTTTTGACTATTTTCGCGATGATGTCTGTGTGTCGCATAACTCATGAACCGATACACAGAAAAACACCAAATTTTAAACTTAAGCTTTGATCCAGCGTCCAATGAACTGATTAGATTTTGAGCAGAGTCGGAACATCTGGGGGCGTACTTTATAGGTGGTCATTTTTATATTTTATGGAATATATCTGTTATTTACGTTTGGGGAAGAAAATTCTTTAAATAAAAGTTACTTCTCATATTATTATCTATAATTTTTGTTCTACACAAAATTTTCATAAAATGGTCCGTATTCGAGAAATTTGACAAAATGTAAAAAAAATATTTTTTTATAAAAATTGTTCAAATAAAAGTTGTTTGTAATATAATTCTCTATAATTTTTATTCTATACATAATTTCTCTAAAATTGACCGTATTCGAGAAATTTGAGAAAATTGTAAATTTTGAAATTTGCAGAAAACTCAAAAACGGATAAAAAAACATTAAATTTTAAACTTAAGTTTTATTTCGGCCTGACGTGAAATGATTAGATTTTGGACAAAGTCGGAACATCTGGGGGGGTACTTTATGGGAGGCCGTTTTTATATTTTATGGAATATATCTGTTATTTATGTTTGGAGAAAAAAATTGTTCAAATAAAAGTTATTTCTAATATTATAATCTATAATTTCTGCTTTATGTCAAAATTTCCTGAAATGGTCCGTATTCGATAAATTTGACAAAATGTGCAAAATTCTGATTTTTATGAAAATTGTTGAACTAAAAGTTGTTAGCGATATCGATCTCTACAATTTTTGTTTATTTATCATTTTTATAAAATGAACCGTAATGAAAAAATTGTAGGAAATTTAAATTTTTCAGTATTTTCGTTTTCAATGAATATCTATAGAAAAATGTTTCGAGGTAGATGTATGTGGATAATGTATATATTTAGTTTATCCTCTAAACATTTATAGAGATACTGCAATAGGTTGTACAAAATAACCGGAAAAAGCCTATAATAACTAGATAGGAAAGTCATGTGTTGGTCACATCAGATTTTTTATTGTTATAAACGTCTAGAAGCATATTATTTCAATGCCAGCAAAAAATATACGACAGCTCCCACCACCGGGATATAGTACATATTCTTCACCCCGCTCTCCTTTACTCAACTACAAATAGCAAGCAAAAAACAAGACGTGCCACTTTTGCAGTCAGATGAAAAAGGGAGAAAATACAGTTCTCAATCGAAAATATTTCCATTTTTCAGATTTTGAACTAGGTATTTTTCAAAAATTTTAATTTGAACACAGTCAACGACTAACAACTACTAGACTAATCTTGTTTACAAAAATCAAATTGCAAACATTCACGGTGTCATCCACGTGTCAAATTATTATGAGAAAAGTATGGGAGAGTCTTACTTAACATATAAGGCTCTAAAATGCACTGAAAGCTTTCAAAATTACATTAAGGAAATATATTTGTATTCTTAGTCTATTGTTACAACTATCACATTTGAAGTCGATTTCCTGAAAAGTACGGTATTTATTTAAGTGTGACAGCAGCGTAAAGCAAGCGACGTAGCTGTAATTAGTGATTCATTCATAAAACGTGTGCTCGCACCTCAGATAAACAAACTCACGCAAACCGTCCCCAAAAATATACCGACTAATTAGCCTGACATCGTTTTCCATGAAGATATTTGAAAGGCTGTGCGAAAGTTACATAAGATATGTGTTGATTACAACAACACTACTACACCCAAATCAACATGCATACACTCCAGGCAGAACTACTGATTCACCTAGTTGCTAGCCGGATAAAGAGATCCCTGGACAAAAAAAGTCCGCCTTGGGTGTTTTTATAGACATACGAATAGAACGTGCTTTGATAAGACGACCTTTCCCAAAATAATACACTCACTAACATGCTCTCAAAGCAAGTAGCAAACATAAGTGTAGAAGATGTAAATATAAGAGGCTTGGCTGCGAGGGATGTCCACAGCGAAGGATGCTATCACCTCAACTGTTGAACATGGTCATCGACACCCTCATCAGCCGCCTCAATAATGATAGTCACTACACTATAGCGTATGCAGATGACCTGCGGCCTATTTCATAAAACTACTTTGCAACATTTCCCTTTGCCTATTTTAGTAACTTTGTTTCATAAAAAATGAGTTAAAAAGTAAAATTTGAAAAGCAATTTGAAATGTAAAAATTAAAAATTCATAATCTGCAAAGATAACGATATTATTTTATGAAACAAAAGTAGTTTGCACTTGTAAATTTATAAAGAGCAAAGCGAAAAGTTGCAAAGTAGCAAACAGGGAATTTTGAGAACATACTCTGCGAAAGAATGCAAGTAGCTCTCAAAATTAAAGAACGCAGTGGTGCAAGGAACATTCATAGATGGTGGTGAGGTCAGCACGCTTGCCTTCCATGCGGAAGGCCCGAGTTCGAATTTCGGAATGGGGACAAATTGAAATAAATCTTTTTACTTTTTTATTCTTTTTCATTTTATTTTTTAGACGACTGTTATAAATAATTACATTTTATAGATAACATCCCTAAAATGTCACTTTTTTGGCTGAAATAACTTACGGCCGCATTTGCTTGACGATCGATTTAAAATGTCGCTGTTTTGGCCGCATTTACTTGACGGCCACATTTACTTTACGGTCACATTTACTTCACGACCGCTTTTTACAAACACAGATTTATCATACTTATCGTTAGTAATTCTGTACAAATTTTATTAGTTTATTATTAACGATGGATTTTTATTCGATCAATAAAAATTTGAAACAATTTTTGCGTATAAGCAAGCCTCTTTTCAAAAACAAGAATGTAAAAAAATATTGGCTTTACTTAATGAAAAAGTCGCCTAAAAAATTTTGTATGCACCTCGGCCGTATGCTCTTTTTTGGCCTAACCAGAAGTTGCTTTGGTCTCGGCCTTGGTACACAAATAACTATTATGAATTAGTAAAAGTCATATATTATTTTTTAATTATGTATTTTATCTTAATAACCTAAAAATTTATAATATTTGTAGATTTTCGTTAGTGGGTTATAGAAAAAAATATACTGTACAATTCGAGTGGATTGTCCATATCCACTCTTGTTAGACAAACTACTATTGATTAATCTATCTTTATATCAGAAACAGTGTTGCCACTCTTTGAATTGATCATCAAAAATCGGTGGATTTTAAACTGAAATAAAAAATTAGAAATATGTCACATAATGACAAAAGTAGTAGTAACTGTCGTAGTACCCAGCTGTACGATAATGAAATTGAATAAATTCCATAAATAATTCATCAGCAATTTGAAAATTACTGGAAAGCTTCATTCTGTTATATTCACGATTAAAATAGTTCAACTACACATTGATAATATTGTAGTCATTATTTATTAAATTGCACAAAACGAAATTGTCGATAGACAAGTTAATCTGTAGGTTTCAGCTTTAATTAGTAGTATATGTTGCTTTAAAATAAATAAAGGACATTACAGGATTCCATTATAAAAGTTATACCACCACTTAATATGAAAACCAAATCAGTAGTTTCGATAAAAACATTGTCTATAAAATTATTTAAATACGGCTCAGAAACAAGTAGATATACTACTACTCCTTGTCGAACCCGTAAAATAAAAATAATTTGATCTACAAAATCTACCAAGCAACCAAAAAAGAAGCAAGCGTTTTCTGAGAATATTGAACTTTTGAAATATTACGCCATCTATCGCCAACTTTGTTAATTAATAATTTTTGTTATGAATAGTATGGCGTGCAAATTCCGTCTTAATACTGTCTTAATAGATTGGCATTAGCTATGTCTAGAAATATTTCAGAACTCGAAAAAAACAAAATTGGATTAATTATGATATAAAATAAAAAAAAGAGAAAAGAGAACGGTTATATGCATGATTTTTGATAAATAATTAGTATAAAATTAAAGAAAAAAGAAAATATTTCCTTCTCGGGGTTTTGAAATATATCTAGTCATAACTAGGGGTGGGCAAAATAATCGATTATTCTATTATCGGATTATTTTCGATTAAACAATTATTTTAGAATAATCGATTATTTTCGACTCATCGATTATGTCCGATTAATAAATTACCTTTGATTAATCGATTATTCTCGAAGAATCGAATATTTTCGATAACAACCATAACCATAAAATTTTAGAAAATGAATCAGATAATTTTCCACTTTTTAGAATTAATGTTAATTTTTCGGGTTGTACATCTCTACTGACTAGCCTAATAGGAAATTATGATACTCTACTAATGCGAAAGAAACAGAAGAATAATGAAAAAACTGTTTTAGCACTAGACCAAATTTTGTGGAGTAAAAATAGAGTAGGTAAGTAAAACGTTTGGTATATAATAATTGTTATAATTACCAAACATTTTCCACTGACACAATACGCTTTTTTGTTAGAAGCCATGCCTTTAGAACAATCTGTTCCAAACGGAAACCAACCATCTTCTCCATTAACTAAATAAAATCTATGTGAAATAAAATCATCTTGGCAAGCTACTCGGCATGATCTATCGGGATCCTCTATAAATAATAAAATAATAGTACGTGTTAATAAATCTTAAAAATGATTGTTCTGTCGTGTTTCTTACCTACAGCAGGTGATATTTGCATTCCCAAGCCTGAAAGTCTTCTAACTCTTTCTTTATACTTTGAGCAAATCATTGAAGCCTGCTGAAATGGTGATTTTACTCGGCTGCACCCCTAAATTTAAAAAATGACAATTAAAACTTCATTATTATAAAATAAAATTGTGGTATAAATAAATATCTATACAACATCTTCATACTTACAAATTTATCAGGCTGACACAGTTGTATACTAGATCTAGCGTACTTTTTGTTCTTAACTAGCCTTATTCCTGAACCAGGAGTGATGCAATTGTAGTGACACCCGCTAGCACTTTTCCATCTAATTGCTCCTTCTCTTCTTCTCAATCCAGTTCTCCAGTTCAATTCATTGTCATACCTATCTATCGGACAAAGATCTGACGATTGGGCAAAAGCGGCTTCTTCTAGCGGATCGCAAACAAATTCTTCGCATTTTCCTACAATCAAAATAATACAAGAAGTAATTTAATGTCAGGAAAAACTAAAAAATAAGAATTTCTTTATTACCTAGCACAACAGATTTTGAAATAAAATAAATATTGTATTAGTTCTATTATTTCTATTTAACATGTGTCATTGGCTTCCACAGTAGAAGGTATTCAAAACACCGATTACACCTTAGTTCGGAACTAGTCACAGGCTGGATGGTTGACCGAACTCGTAGGGCACAAGGCCCATCTAGATGGTAGAATATTTGAGTTGAATAAATGGAAAGTAGTAGGGCCACCAATTAGTAGCGCTAAAAGCACATAGAGCTGCAGGGTACAAAAGCCTGATTGGGACGTAAAGTTGGAAACCAAATCGGATTGGGGAAGCCTATCGGAACCCTTCAGGGGGTGCAGAAGCATGTATGAAATGGTGAAAAAATTATTCAAATACATCAGGTGACAAAATGATTCTAAACATTTGAAACATATTTGTAATTTGTATTTCTTGCTACATTTAACAGGCACAGAAACAGAAACATTAATTACAAAGATAAAAATGAAAAAGAAACAAAAAAAGTCTCCGGCATGGGTATATCCATTTTAATATTTTTTGCCCTATAGAAAAAACCGTTAACTATTTTAATTGTATCAGGACAAAGCATAATTATTTTTCGCTCTTTTTAATTTGAATTATAATTTAATGACGGGTACTACCTTTAATGCAGTAACTTGCTTTTCCGTAACGATTTCTTCTCATTTGGCATGCAGTTCCATCTGGAAAAGTCCAACCTCGACTTCTTGTACTACCGTTACGTTTTTGACACCACACAAGGCAAGCTTCTTCGGCTAAAAAATAATTTTATGAAAAATTGTTAATTTAAAATAGCTCCAACTGTTATTTGTCCATTCGATCTTTAAACCAAAGTTTGTCTATAGAACATTGACACCAAGTTCATGTGGATCGTGTATGTAGTACATTGTGTAAATAAAATTGGGGGTCTTAGCTGATAATCAAGCGGATTCAATCATTTTAAACACATAAATGCATTGTTGAAAATGAAACTACACTAGTGCATTTTCAAGGAAAAGAAAACTCAATTTTGAAACCGCCAAATTACACGGAATAAACATAGAATGAAAAAAAGAAGGTCTAACCCTGGACAACAAACTTCTCTGAAACACACATGAAAAGGAATATGACTAGGAGTGTATGGACTTAGAACCAGGCACTTTGAAAGTTTGGAACGCCAAATATGGACCATATGCGGTTTTTACTTCTAAATTACGTCAAATGGTACGGTCCTCCACGACAATCCGAGTACTCGGCTTCCCGCACATGCCAGTGTCAAGCCGAGCGAATGCCGGCTATTTGTGGTTTACTGGTTATGTTTAACCCCATTTTAGTTGACAGTTGAAATATATATTCAAACCATCGAGTTAACCTTCATGACTCAAACAGTAAAGCGATATTCCATGCAAGTACCTACACTTAATGTTTGTGTGGCACTAAAGTAAAAACAGACTAATCTTAGCCTGGATATAATGAAGAGGCTGAATTACTAACTCAAGAAGAAGCCCTCCCCAAAGACTCTTTTTGGACCAGAACCCTTTTGTGGGGTCACAAAGGCAGCCATAAGAACAAAAACAAAGTAGTGGTGAAACAATTCACCAGGACAGAGACCGGCCAGATCACCAAAACTAATCTATCATCTATCACCTATTAACAGGGCATTGTCAGCTTAACAGACATATGCATTACATAGGACGATTCTGCCAAGATGAGGACGTTACAGTACACCTATTGGTCTAATGCGAAGACTCCTTACTTGGAGAAGAAAAACCAAGGGCAATTTTACTCTATTTTGGTAAGCCAATTTCCTTTGTTCTTCGATGCAATTCCGTACCAGCATCTGGGTCACTTTCTGATTCGGTATATGGCCTTAAGGGCATCTGGCTGTTTGACATTATAAGATTTTCGGTAGCTCTCAGATTGTTGTTACTACACATTACATACATAACCTTCTCCCTGAAATACTGAGGTATATTTTCTTATTGCGAAACTAAAATAGGTAGGTATTATAGTTTTTGTAGATTGTTATTATCTATTAATGTTATATAAGGCATTTCAATTTTGTTCTAAATTTTAAAAATAATATAATACCGGTAATAAACAAAAAACTTAGTTAAATAACATCCGAAACTGGTCTGAACTTAATGCTCTCAACATATTTAGAGCAGTTGAAGTTCATGTTGATTAGGTCAGATGGTACCGATCCCCAATAAGGGAGACACAACTTGTAGAAGAATTTAAGTTACATTCTATTAAAAAAAATAGGTAGCATTTACCGTCAGTACTGATTTTTTGCATTCCAGATCCAGTTAAATCGTTGTCAACTTCTTTGGCTCTTGTACATATTTGATCAGCGAATTCTCTTATAGTTAATCTTGGTACGTTCGAACATTGTTCAGCTACACAGCTCATGTACCTCGACGATGGACCTTCACATTCTGCTCCAACTCCTTGTGGCCTAAAGTCAAATATTTTAAATTTCAAAACCGTTATTGTTACTGTAAAAGTTTGTATAGTACGACAAGATTGAGATGGAAAGTAAGAATTAGAAGCACACTGGCAAATCTAAAAATGGAAGGAGTTAAATCAGTTAATACAAGTGAACACAAATATCCATTAACTATGATAACTCCTCCCATTTTTGGATTTGCCAGTGCGCATCTAATTCTGACTTGCTATCTCAATCTTGTCGTACTGTAGTTAGTTCATTTTCTAATAATATTTTATAGATATAGAGCCTTACCGTGGGTTATTACATATTCTCTCGGAAGCCATAATTCCTGTGCTACCAGATCTCAAGCGACCTTCTTCTCCAAATAGACAACCGGAAGCGCAATCGCTAGATTGTTTCCATTTACTCCAACCTCCATTTATTTGTCCAAGCCTTGCAGAATTTTGTTGAGCAGTGTAAGCGGACGACAATATCAATCCTTTAGCAACACATTTGCCTCCTCTGCACCACTAAAAATTATATTATTATTATTTTGAGAGTGATTTTTTGATTTCTTGGGTTTCAGGTATAGGAAAGATTTAAAATCATTTTTTTATGGCTTAACTTAAATCATTGTTTTATTTTTTATATTATAAGAAAAAAACTTTAAAACTTTAAAAAGTACATATTTAAATACCGTTCTAAAGCAAAGTACAACCATTTTGGCATTGACAGGGAAATCAGCATGATTTTTATTTATAAATAGAAAAAATGTCGAACTAATAAGAATTTATGAAAAAAACTATTGTAATACAACATGTTTTATATCATTATTAAAAAATAACAATGTTTTAAACTACAAAGAAATTATATAAAAAAACTAAACTGAAGAAGAACATTGATCATGAGCCGAAAGCTTCAACAAAAGGTATATTAATATAAAAAAAGGAAGAAAAAGCAAAGTAATAATAAGTTTAGTGTCTTAATTGAAAAATACATTTTTGCAATCAATTATTAATTATGCTATCTGTACGGAAAGGAACAACGAAACGGTGTTGTTATGGAGTATGTAAAAGTGACATACGGTATAAATCATTCAAAGGCAATACATATTATTTTATAAATTTTCCAAAGCCTTGGCTGCAACATCGTAAAAAAATATCAAATTATCAGGCAAAATCCATATTAAAACATGTTCAAAAAGCGCAAAATGCGCATTAGGTGTGAAAAAATGTGGTCGAAGTGACAACGGTGATGTAACTAAAGATACTTATATTTGTTTATTACATTTTCATGGAGAAACTGGTCCAACAGAAGAAAATTCTTATCTGGTATTACACAATTTATCTTTTAATATTAAATACTACTTTAGAATACACAGTTATATGATTAAAAATATCATGTTGATCCTCAAAATATTAAATAATTTATTAATTATACTAGTGATTAACTATCATGTTATAGTGTTTTTGCAAGTACTAATAGTTGGTTAGCATAATTAATTAGAATAATTATTATTTGTTTTCATTAATTTTTTACACAGTTGAGAAGTATTGATACACCTAACCTCTCAATCAGTCCACTTTTTTCCTTTATAGCAAACATTCAAGACACTTCAACCACCTTTTCAACAGCTCACAACTATGCGCTTCCACAGAGTTATAAAAAAGTTAATCACCATCAACAATTTTTTCGAATGAATAATTTTTCTGTAGAGATAATATTGCTTTCTCAGCCATTGTCGATCAAAACAGTACGAAACTATTGAATTACCCCTATTTCAACATGGTGGCTGCGCTTGCGCTCATCATAAGATGAAAAGGTCTATAGAAAGAACATCGCTCATCCGTCAAAATTATTATTTATAATTTCAATAAATAAAGAATAAGTAAGTTATATAATTTAAAAAACTAATTCTTATATTTCTATAACATTAACAGCACGCCATTAATCCCAACCTGTTGAAGATCCTTCGACATAAAACATTTAAATAAGAACAAAACAAAATATATTTGAATTCAACCATAAAAATCTTAAAGCTAACACTGAAACGTATAATTTTAAAAGCCAACTCTGGCACGTATAGAATGTCTCGAAGATGTTACGTAATCCGCATCACGGGTCAAGTAGAGATGGCGTCAGACGCGCCGAAGCGAGACCAAGCGCTTTCCGCGCGGTTTTGCTTCAAGTGAAGCCTCTTCTCACTCAAATGAACCTGTGAATGAACCACATCGTTTACTTTTTCCTGCTTTTTCTTGAATAGGCGTTAGGTCGTTATAGTAACTTTGTTATAAAAATTTTAAAAAGAAACACTGGCAAGAATGTGATTAATTTTCATAAGACAGTACTTTACAGATTGTAAATACAGTTTAGTGTTGTGATGTAGTATGATTTTTCAAGATAACAAGGAATTAAATGTTGCCGGCATTTTATTTTACATCAATGAAGAGAACCAGTACTCTTTCAACAGTCCACTAGTCAAAGGAATATGTTAAAAAATGTACAGGGAAAGTACCTACCCCCAATACAACCAATGAGTGACTCCGCCAAATGATGACGCAGCTGTGTACTTCTTATTGTAATCGGACCCTAACATTAAGGATCCCATTGTGGTATGTTTGTGATGTGTTTTAATCTCTGACACTTTAACTTTTATACTTTTACTCTTTGATAAAAATAATGGAAAATATGTGTTAAACTCATTTTAAATAAATGTCGATTGTACAGTAGAGGACACTAAAGAAATATGATAAAAATATGTTCCAATTGAATCAAATATATTTAGAAAAAGGTCAGTACCTACCATATTAGTTCCGCAGATAGTCCCCTCTAAAGCAGGGTGTGATGTCCACGTATATCGTTCTCTTTCGCAATGCAGATCTCTGCATACGTCATTTAAAGGTTGTTGGGAGGAATGTTTGCTACCTTTTCCGTATTTAAGCATACCTGAAATAAAAACAAAAAAATATGAAAAAGAGCATCAAGAGGTCCGGGGGTTTGGGGGGCGAAAAATAGAAACATTGCTATAAAGAAAAATCATATTTGTTTACCAGCAATGTTAATTGATGATACACAATAATGCTGGATCATTTGAATCAAAATGTGACAAAAAATAACAGATGTAGAATTATCAAAAATGATCAAAATTAGACGGCACTTTATTAGTTGAGAAAATAAAACTCGAAATATGTTATTTTCTTATTGAAGATGGCCACATTTGAGAGGTTAGTTTACTTTATTACTTCCAGAACTGATGATATCTAGGATTTGCCGTAGGACGAAATGAGAAAAATACAGTTTTCTGAAAAACTTAAAATCAGAGAACTGGATTTTTGAATGGACACCAAATATCATAAAGATAATATCTGGAATTGGAGTTGATTCTTAAACATGTATACTATTAGACTTTTAGATGTAATACATGAATGCATTATTGAAAGATAATGATCGTATATGCAAACCTTGAAAATGAAACTAAACTGTACGGCTATGTAAGAAAGATGTCCAAAGATAAAATATTTGGAAATGGAAGACTCGATTTAAAAAAATGGGTTATCAGATAGAATGCACTGATAGATATGAAAAATTATAAACCAATCCAAGACAATTTTCTTACATTTTTGAGATACACTTATCATTGCAGCTTGCGCCGGCCCTGCAGAATCGATATACAACGCTGAAATCTAAAAAGCGACTACGTCACCCTCTTGTGATATATAAACGTCACTTCGTAGCCAATAAAAATGTTCCACAAAGAAAGTGATGCTACCATTCGAAAATATGATTGGTCAATCAGTTAAAAACAAAAATAGTTGCATTTTCACCTTTAAAGATCAGAGCTTTAGCAGCATAAAAGTAATTGAATTCAAAGGCAATATTACTCATACTCTAAGCAAGGGGCCCTATACTCGGCTATCGTTTTCACCGATGGAGAAATTATCAAAGAATACGTAATTGCAGTAGTCGAAGAGAAATGTGCCACGCAAAGGTAAATTTGTTTGAAACTGTCAGTTTGTCAGCAAACACCGTTGCTCGGGAAGTACAAGACATCAGAAAATATATCATCTGAACTGTCTGACAAAAATGGACATCTTGAGTGGTTTTCTCTGACCTTAGATGACTCAACGGATGTATCAGATACTGCTCAGGTGTTAATTTTTATTCGAGGAGTAGATAAAAGTATACGAATAACTTCTTGATATTGATAGTATTCATAACACTACTACTGGGGAAGATATTGTTAAGAGAGTTGAAAATCCCATTAACAAAAAGAGGAAAACTTGAAATCTATTACAACTGATGGGGACAAAAACATGTGTGGTAAAAATAAAGAAATGGTTGCACTTGTGTCAAAGGCTGTAGAAAATGATGATGGTTTAAAACCATTAGTCTTACATTGTATCATTCATCAACAGTCCTTGTGCGGAAAATGTTTGGATATGTCTGAAGTTCTAAAATCAGTCATATCAGTTATTAATTTTATCAGATCCACTGGGCCGTGTGACAGGCTCCTGGTTCACCTACAGTGAATCAGCGAGTCTGTATGGCGCTATGATAGTGATACCCGAATAGGGATTGCTCAGGCGCCAGTTTTGGTTTCGCAGTTTGCTCTGCGACCCTGAAGTACACCAGAGTGTACTCAAAGTAAACTCAGTGGAGGTAAAAAAATAATTCCAGGCGGTCACTGCTAGGTGGCCACTATACTAGAATAAATAAAAATAAAACACTTATCTCCTTTACACCTCGTACCCTATGGTACCCTAAAAGAGAACGGTTAAGAACCAGTAATAAGAGAAACACAGGAATAGGTAATAAAATATATATTTACAAAAAAAAATAATACAACGGTAATTAAATATAAACGGCTCCCTATATGCGGAAAACTTATTAAAAACAAATTGTTTCCAATGAAAACTAATTAAATATTAACGGCTCCCTATATGCGGGAAATTGATTAAAATTAAATTATTATTAATGAAAACTAATTAAATATTAACGGTTTCCTATATGCGGAAAATTGATTAAAATTAAATTATTACCAATGAAAACTAATTAAATATTAACGGCTCCCTATATGCGGAAAATTTATTAAAAATAAATGATTACTAATGAAAACTAATTAAATATTAATGGTTTAAAGTCTCTCTAATGTAGACATCTAGTAGTCCATAGCTTCTACAAGAGAGAAACCCTTCATCGACAGAGGGAAGCAAACGAATACCGCTATCACGCCCTGATTAACGCGAAAATGGATTATTAAAAATAAATTAATACACTCGAAATCAAAGTTTTCGGAACGTCCCTGTATCTTAGACGAGACGATCGCCGCCGCTCTGGCAATTTTTGAATGAGAATGATAATTTTCAGGGCGGTGTTTGGGAGAAAAATGCAATGTTTAACGTAAAAATTATTTTGAGATTTTACAGAAATCGTCGGCTTCCTTCAATAATTAGTCGTGGACGGAGAACGGAATGATTCAAATACAATTGAATGAGTAAATAAAAGAAAAGAAACTTACATGAAAAATACTGGGTGCTTCTTATAAAAAATTGCCAACGGTTTCCCACTGAGGGATGAAATGAAAAATGCTGGGCATGAATCAAAATTATTTCACTTGTCGGACGCGTGTCCCAAACTAATTGTAAATAAAAAAAAATAATCGGTTTCCTACCTTTAGAAAAATAAACGGGGTTGATCGATGAACTAAATCACGGTACTCACGGCACTAGGTACTAACTAAGGGTGAATAGTTTTCGGCTGTCGGCAATCACGAGAGAAGAGCTTACGACGGCTGTCAAGCGAGGAGAGAGCGTAATTCCCAGATCTCATTTAATTTATCCTTTTTCGGTAAAGCAAATACGACAAAGTACGACCACTACTACAGCCGACTGTTTACAATTAAAAAATAAAAAAATGCCCTCATAGTCCTTGACAAATAAAAGGTAGATAATCCATACGAAATCGACTCTAAAAATGCCCATTCGGATTTCGGCAAATATAAGAATATTTTAATCTACGAGGGTACTCGCACTTGTTGAAAAACGGTAATTCCTGGGAAACAGAAATACGGGGGAACTTCTACATGTTCTCAGGCGGGAATTAATTGAAATAGGTATACATTTTTAAAATAAATTAAAAATAAAATTTAGTGACTTCGTCACAGCTGAATAACCGACAACTCGGCGAGTTTATTGAATAGATGGAAGACAATGACTATATCATACTGCTGAACGCTGGCTTAGTTGCGGAAAGGTCCTTCGTTAAAGTACCAATGTCTGTCTGTCTGTGCCGCGATCTCGAGATAGAGAAAGCCAAAACATTATCGGACTCAGATATAAGCTAGGGACACTTAGAGAAGCAAAATGACACCAAAATAATGGTACCTACTTTTGTGATTCCCGAGATATATACTTCGGTCGAAAATTTAAATGAACGAAATCACACTTAGAGAAGTTCTCGCGGGCCTGATTGATGACCCTGGCGGGCCGTATTTGGCCCGCGGGCCGTAGTTTGGAGACCCCTGCTCTAAACAAACAAAAATGTACATAGTTGATAATGTTATTTAGATCGTGTAAAAAACTATTTTAAAGATTGATTAACAATGCAATGTTAAGTAACATATGAATTTGAATACAGCCACACCTTCCAGCAACCAACACATATCAGGAAATCAACAAGTATGTCTTAAATTTAACTACAGTCCATTTTAAGATCCAGGATGGCCCAGATCGGATTAGACCTTATTTAACAATGGGAAAATATCTAGCACTAGTTCCATTGCCAGTATTACACGTACATATTGACAAACAAGAATGGAATCTAGGATACAGTTAACTGCAATAAGAAGCTATAAACGAAATATTGCATAACATATTGTCCTGTAATATTTCCAATATCAATTTCTCAGCTTGAAAGTTTCCTCTAGAATCAGTTGGATGGCTTATTTCGTGAAAACCAACTTCCCATTCCCCTATAATAACATTGGCAATATTAATTAATATTTTTACTTTTTTTAGAATGAGAAGATGGATATCGCTTTGAAATCAGAAGATATCAGAGGGAAAAATAAAGTAGACTGGGGAAGTCATACTTGCAACCTGTTTTAATTGTTTGAAAAAGATCAGTTTAAAAATGTTTATCATGGAGCTTCCTTTAAAATTAAAAAACAATACATACATTGTTGATTGGCATCAAATCGTTCCCCAGGAAGAGCTCCTTCAGCACTGTGATCCAATTTACCAGCAGAACTGCTATGATCGAGCAAACATCTTGATTGCGGAGTACTAAAATTAAAATCTAGTCATACTATTACACTAACAAAGAAAAAAGTAGGGTTTACTTACTCCAAAAATTTTTGTAAATATCTCTTGCTGCATGTCGACCATGTTATTTTACCACTTCCCAGGGTTGGGGACATTATGTAGGTCGTAGGATCGCAATCGTTTTCTGCTAAAGGTCCATCGTGTCTCATTCCCAAACTAAAAACAGATAACGAAAATAAAAACAAATAAATGCACAAACTTTGCATAATATTATAGACAAAAGCTTTGTTTTTGTTTTGCAAAACATCGGTGGCAAATAGCTACATGTCCCAATTTTATGGGGGTATCATTACATTAATTTTAAGATGACTAATTTCTTAGGTATAGAGCAGAACAGCATTTCTACCATGCCACTCGATACACGAAAACCTACCAGTAATCAAGGAGGTTGAGTTAGCGACTAATAAGAGTAAATACTGGTGTACATTTTACGAATAAGCGCCTTAAGAATTGGTCACTGTGCGCCTGCAGAAGAAATAGATAAGAACAAAGGTTCCCACCCATCTTACCAGATAATATCTAAATTCACAGTAACAATATGTTAAAGAATACGCTGAGTGGAACGTTGATAAGTAGTCAAACGTTCTGCTATACGAAAATTCCAGGTTTTGTCTATGCGCATTGCGCATCTATTACAGATAACAAACGGAGAGATGAGCAATATTTGATAAACAACTTTCGAAAAATTGAAAGTTTTGTTGACGGGTTAATTTTTCATTGCATGAAGTTGTAGAAAAGGGGCACTCTTTCTGTTTCTAGCCTAAAAAGCGTGTATCGTCGCCCAGCTAGAGCTTTGCATTCGAAGATAACCTGATATAAGGTTTTCTCCTTTTCCATGGAAAGCCTACTTATGTTGGGATCATTATGTAAGCCCATTACATGGAAATGGATTAGTTATCCAACAATGGTGAGTATCTGAGTCCTTGAGAGTAGTAGTACCTCAGAAACTTTTCCATGTACTACTTTATGTCCAGTGAATTTGATGTTTAATGGTTATCTACCTATTCACTGCCTGGTAAACAGAGATTTTACTTATCCCAAATACAGGTTCTTTTCATTACTTTTAATTTCCTTGATTACCTTTATATCCTGGTACCCAATAATGATGCAGCAATTTCAAATTTTCATTGAATATATCTACAAAATGAAACTGGGTGAGTATTTTGTTTGACTATGCTGAATAGCTGGTTGTCTGTAATTAATAAACAAGTTGTCAACGAAATTTTAAAAGTTTTCAACTTACTTATGACCTATTTCATGTGCCACTACGTATACACTTTCAAAATGCCTGCCTTCATTTACAGTACAGCTACTAGTTGCAGTACACATTCCAGCTACAGGAGCCAAGCCTAAAAAGACGAAACATTTATGACTTTGAAGCCTTTATTTATTAGAAAATTATTAATGATGTCATAGATATCAAGATTTTTAACTCACCAACGACTTGGTTTGAAATTTTTCCGTGTTTGCCCCGAACGTACAGATCTAAACCCGTTAAAATTAAAGCGTGGTCCCAATGAAGAGGCTGACTATCTCCGGAAGGATTTTTCGTTCTCTGCCAATTACAGAAATTTGATAAGAACCTATCGATATCTGGTGGTCGAACTAACCCAGCTACATCTTCTTTTAAAATTTCCAGTCTTTTTAGTACGAAGTTTACAGGTCTTCCTAGACTAGGATCATGATATAATAGTTGAACCTAAAAAATTATGTTTTTAATGCGTAAAATCAATAAATTTAGAAAAAGAGAAGCAATATAAATATCCTTCATGACCTACTAATATCGAGAACAAATTCTTTACCATATGAACCTAAACCTGAAAGTGAAAAGTGAAAACGCAATTACTATTGGTAGTAGCCAATAAGTAGTTAGTAGTTCATTAGCTGCAGTATGGATACTCATAAAGTCACTCCAACATATTTCCTAGCATTTATTTTTCATCTTGTTTAGTGGATATCACAACCCTAAAAGACCATCTCAAATTGTCAAGCATATATAGCTTCTTCAATTGGTTCCTAGACATGTCTATTGTCAGCATCGTCATCCTACTATGAGGTGGATGACAATATTAACATCAAGCGGATCCCTATCAATGTTCGCAATGTCTTGTTACTAACAATTTAAAATTTGTAAAGTAATTACGTCATGCACTGCTTAACTTTTAATATTGACCACTAGCTTTATTGGTCAAATTATCATCATAATTAATAATTTGAAGTATGCTGATTGCATGTCAGGTAACTGCATCACGCTAATTAAGCAACTAATTGTTTCTTTGTTAATATAGATTACAATTTTAAATATTTTTAAATAAGTAAAAAACAAGATTGAAAATTAAACAGGATATTAAATTATCATACTTAGTGTTGTTTTCACATAATATTTAACTGATTTAGTAATTATTTGTGGCTATTTTATTATAAAAAAATCGTAACAGTTTAAAAATAAACAAATTATTTGGACAAAGTTCTCATATAAAAGTTATGAAAGTAATATTAAAAAACCGACTTCAAAATAGTGCAGATGCCCTTAAAAATTGAGAATTATTCCATGATTAGAACTTGATCAAATTTATATAGGACCACCATCCCTAAAGAACCCTCTTTCTAACAAAAAAAGAATCATAAAAATCGGACAACATAGTAAAGAATTACCGCTGAACATAAAGTTGAAGTCTGTTAAAAATCAAATACCACGTCAGGTATCTTCTTAAAATTATTTTTTTTTATAAATATTTATTAAAATTTACATTTGCATTTAATAATCAATAATCTTTTCGCTAAATTGCAACAGAACGAAATTTTTACAAACCTCTGGGGCTCCAACCAGGTAAACTTTATCTAATATAAATTGCCCAGGAATGGTTCTAGTCCTATAAACTCAAATTCGGTTCCTCTTTTAGTGAGCGCGTCAAATTTTTCATTGCCCTCCACACTGCTGTGTCCCAGAATCCAGATCAAAGTTACTTTGTTTCGGGCACCAGACACTTAAAGGTATTTATACAGTTTCAAACCAGCTTTGAGCCAACTCGATTGGAGCTCAGGGCCTTGAGGTCTGCCTGGCTATCCGAAAATAACTTTATAGTCTTGTTTGCGGAGAGATAATCAATCAACTCTCTCTCCCAATTCTATAGCGATCATTTCTGCTTGGAAGATCATAGCCAGAGAGCCTAGGTTTATTGATATGTCAACTCTTTGATTCTGGCCGAAAACTCCTGCTCCTACTCCTTTTTCAGTTTTGGAGCCGTCCGTGTACAGCACATAGTGCGCCTGGGAGAGGTTTATATCCCCCTGCTCCGTACGTTTATCTCTGGAATAAGGATGCTGTATGACTTTTCTATGTATTGTCGGGGAACTGAAGAGTTTTGAGAATACGCCAAGGATGTTTTGGTTATTAATTTCAGTCATAGGAGACGACCATCTTGGGCGCCCTTTTTAGCAAAATGTGGAGGGGGAGGTATACGGAGGAACTGGAATAGGAGTATATGGATCAAAAACTAAGTACTCTGAAAGTTTGGGTAAATATTCAAGCATCTTTCAGGCGGTAATTTACGCCACTGAAAAGTGTATCCAGTTCAACATCGAGATAAATTATCGCAGACAACAGATTATTACCATATTCGATTGCCAAGCAGCCATCAAAGCGTTGATCTCTTACGTAATTAGCTTGGGTCCCGGGACATAACGGGATAAAGGGTAATTAGACTGCAGATAGCCTCGCAAGAAAAGAGGCTCAAACACCCTTTGTGGAACCTGAGCCATTTTGCGGTATCAGCAGTAATACAATTTCAGGAGAGATTAAAAAATAATCGAGTAGTAGAAGTACCAATAATTGGAACAATCTCTGGGGTAAGATACTTCTGGGTGAATACAATCAGAAAAGATTGGTAAACGTGTATCTTCTCGAGCAAGAATAGGCTACGCATTGTAAAAGGGATTCATACTGGGTATTGCCGACTTAATGAAAACCTAATAATTAAAAGTAGTAGAAGATAGTGAGTGCAGATTCTATGAGAAGGGGAAGGAGGAGAAGGAGAACTAAACCTCTATTCACATTATGAATTTAAGGACACTATTATAATTAGAGGCACACTAGATAGAAGAGAGCGATCTTCCCAACTTGAAGCCACCCAGATCCTACACTTCCTAGAGGCGATAAGATTGGAAGGGTCGGTATAGGCATCCAGACTATTTCTTTGCTGCATTAGAGGGAAAAATAAATCTTTTAATTTTCAGTGCATATTGCAGTGCATTAATATCACATACCCAACATAACATAACAAGATTAAATTAATAAACCGATGCTCTTAAACGGTCATATGTGGTGGTTTAGGCAGTCGCCAGAGAAAGATAAAGTCAACTTACCAAACTAAAATTTAAAAATCGATATATCTACATAACTATCTAAATATAATTGACTTTAATTAAATGTAAGTAGATTTTTAAGACATATTTGATGACTGGGAAATTTTGGAAATTATTACTAATGGTTTTCCAATACGTTTAAATCAGCGGACGTATTATTTTAACGAACCGGATGATGGATAAGGAACTATCGTAAGATTATTTTCAAAACCTGATTTATTTAATCCATCGTTACAACAATCCATAAACGGCAGAAATTCTACTGTTCTACTGTTGATATTTATGCTTTACAAATTCAGTTTATGGGTTGTTGCACCGAATTTTTATTAAAGATAAATTAAACCAAATTTTATAAATAATCTTACGTTAGTTTGTTATCTGTTGCACCCGATAAAAATTAAAAAGTTGGCACAATTTATGGAAGTTAAAACGACGATTAGAACTATGATTATGGTCCGTTATTAATCGAAATATCTAGGTCCAAAACTATGGAGGGTAGAGGAAAGGAGGACAATCTTATATGGATCTTTATATTAAAAAGTGGCCACCAAAATGTATACAATTAAGATGGCGCTCGTGTAGCCAGGGGACAAAATCCAATGCTATATAGTCATATATCTGCAATTTTAGTAAAGTATTCGAAATTACAGTTACCAAATTTCTCTATAGGCATATTGAAAAATTCAATTTTACCTGAACAACATGGATTTGTTCGTGGGAGGTCTACTGTTACCAATCTAGCCATTAAAACTCAATTTATCAGCGAAATATTGGATCGCGGTGGACAGGTAGATGTGATCTACACTGACTTTACGAAAGCATTCGATCGCCTTAGTCATCCCATTTTGTTATCAAAGTTAAATATGTTGAATTTATCTGATAATGTACTATCTCTCCTTAGCTCCTACTTAAGTAACCGTTCTCAGTATGTCCTTATTAGTGGCGTTAAGTCTCGCTTGATATCTCAAGTTTCTGGTGTACCCCAAGGTTCCATTTTAGGGCCTTTATGCTTTATAATCTTTATTAATGATATTTGTAAGAATATTAATGTACAATATTTACTCTACGCTGATGACTTGAAGCTTATTTCAATGATTAATAACAACAATGACTGTATCGTAATGCAAACCGATATAAACAAAATTCAAAACTGGTGTATAAATAATAAGCTCATGTTAAATCCTGCAAAATGCAACGTAATGTCATATACGCGAAAGAGTGACTTCATAAGATACGATTACAATATAGGAGGTGTCGTCCTCCAGAGACCTGACACGATTAAGGACCTCGGTGTTGTCTTCGATTCAAAACTTACATTTGTTAATCATTTGGCCATAACTGTCGCATCTTGTTATAAAGTTCTAGGTTCCATTCTACGATCTATCAAAGATTTTAATAATCTAGATACGTGCAAATTGTTATTCTGTGCCCTTGTTAGATCCAAGCTTGAATATGCCTCAATAATATGGTCCCCTAATTATAATGTGCACGTTTTAACTTTAGAAAAGGTTCAACGACGTTTCCTTAAGAGTCTTCATTATTATTTTCATGGAACTTACCCTGAGAGGGGATACCCACAAGACCAGCTTTTAACAATGTTTGGAATGCAGAGCTTATTTCAACGAAGAATTATATCTTCAATTATTTTCATTTTTAAAATAGTACACCATTTAATTAAATGCCCAGCTTTATGTGCTCAGCTTAACTTCCTAGTTCCAAGAATTAATTCCAGGTACAGCTGCACATTCATTCTTCCCACTCCCAGAACAAACTTATTATGTCAGTCTCCATTGTACCATATGCTGTCCACGGTTAATGACTCGAGTAAAGAAATTGATCTATTTTGTACTACCATCTCAAAGATTAAAAAACTTTATTCCTGATTTATATCCATATATTCCTAATTAAAATATTTAGTGTAATGTAATTTAGTGTAATTAAGTTTTTTATGTTTTTGTATCTAATTTCATCTTTATATATTAGTTTTTTATGTTTTTGTATCTAATTTCATCTTTATATATTAGTTGTTTCGCATGCGATATGTGTGAGTAACCTTTTTTCTCCACTGGAGTTTTTTTCAGATTACTCATACAATCTCATTTATAGTTTTACTTTAAAATTTGTTTTGCTTTTATTGTATTATTTACAAATATATGTTTATTAATGTTAAGTGCGCATTCTGTAATAGGCCTTGGCCGTTGAATGTAAGAATAAATAAATAAAAAAAAATAAAATAAAATAAATATAGATTGCTCATACATAATTAAATTAGACAGGAAGCAGTAAATTGAGACCTCCGTGCCATTTTAATATAAGAATTATTTATTGTTTATATTATTATTTTTCAATAAAATTTGACTATTGTCGTGTATTGTCAAAATTTATCTACGATCACAGAACACTTACTCTTCTACGATCAGTCACTTTTCACGGTGTAGTTTTTAGTTTTTTATGGTTGAGCAATATTTATTACTATATACATCATTGGTGTCATTGTGTGATCTGAATTATCGACTGTCGACGTCCCCTGGGCACAGAAGCGCCATCTTAATTGTATACATTTTCAGGGACACTTTTTGTATACAGAGATAGTTCTCCTTTTCTCTACCCTCCATATCCAAAACTAACCGGTCTGCTTGACATTCCTGTCAACAAATCCTGATTACTTACGATTAGTAGTTAGTTAATATCGGACCATAGGTACCCTTAGAAGACTAGAGAGAAGGAGGCGAAACGACAATGGACAAATTTCAAATTTCCGTCCTTCTATTTATAAAGTTTGCCAAATTGACTGTAGTTGGCGGGTCGAACGTTACTGACGTTAATTTTCTATGTAAGTCAATGTAAAATAAAGTGTTTTTTTAAATTGGTGAAAATAATCAAAATAATGTGACTGCAAGTAATATGAGTGACAAAAAATATCAAATCAAGATTTACTTTGTTCCAGGTTGTAAAACGGGATATAAATCATATGTAAAAGAAAACACCAGGAGAAATCAATTCAAAGCCTTTTTAAAGCTCCTAGTGTAAACAAAATTATTTATTTACTTCTCAATATAATAATTATTGTAAACTAGTCGAAACCCGTATATTTTACAGAGTGTAGTAGTTTATTTTATTACAAATTTCTATAATGTAAAATTTTAGTTATATATCCTCACCCTCAAAAACATTAATTACACATTACATTTAACATACTAGAAAATATTTTTTTTTTTCAGAGTTTTAATGTTAGATTAAGAGCTACTACTATTATTTTTTTGTTAGACCCCAATTTTGTCATTGTTAATGTTTTATAGGATCATAAACGTTTAGGACACAGGCAGCATATCATTCTGAGGGCGATAAAGCACTTTCTAGAGATGTTGCTGTTTGCGAGCATACTTTTTAGAAGATATTTCTAAATATTATTTTTACTAATGGTACTTTTAGCAAAATAAAAAGTGGAAAGCCAAAATTAAAGGATGATTCAATACCATGTATACCTATATTCCAGAATCTCTCTTTATACTTGTATTATAATAATAAAAAACTTTGTTTTATTTGGTTATTAAAACTATAATTAGGTATAATTATAAAAAGTTTAGCCACAAAATTGTAATTCACCATTTAACAAACCATATCGAATTTGGTCATACCTAATTTGCATTTTATATAGATAAAATTAAATAATTTATCACTTAAAACATGCAAGACTTACTTAGAAATAAATACAATAATATTTTCTGTACTTTATTTTGAAATAAACATGTTTATTTTTATTATTTTTACAAAATTATGTCAAATTCTCATAAGAATGTATTTTTACCATCCCTACAAACATCAGCGCCCCTGCGGTGAATTGTAGAAGCTTGATTAGCGTTCGTTTTTTGGGACCGTATTTTGGGTATGCCGATTCGCCTCCTTGTCTCTAGTCTTCATAATTAGAACCACCCACGGAGTTTCAAGGGTGTTGATTTTTTTCATGACCCTTTTAAGTTAATCTACGATTATATCAATTAATCTTAGTTTTAAAATCGGTGTTATAAATTTTTTCGTTTAATCTCAGTAAAATAATGCAACAAGCTACAAAAACTACATTCAATGCATATTAGAATAAGAATACCTAGTGATTTTTAAGGAACCCAACACTTCCGAAATAAATTAAGTCGACAATCGCAACCCCATCCTAAATTTATTAGTTACTGCAGTAAAGCAAAGTGAGGACGATGCATTTGTTCTTAATTTAAACTCTACGCTTTTACGTCTCCAAAAAAGACTTGTCCTCTGCATATATCGTGCTTATTAATCTACAGGGTGTCCCATTAGTGCGTAATTGTTCAATATTTCAATTTGTGTTATAGACACTCAAACAAATTTTAAATGAAAGTTATATGAATTTAAAAAATGCGTATTTTAAAAATATTTTTGGATATACAGGGTGTTGTGTTTTTGCCTGGAAAATCAAAATGTATATTTTATTTCAGTTTTAGAATGGTTTGTTAATACTATATTTAACCCTAGAATTTCCCAAAATAAATTTTCGTAATTTAGGTAGGTTTACATTGATTTCAAAATTGTTGGGCATATAATATAGACTTATAAGATACTAAGCTAACTAATAGTGGTGATAGAACTGGTTTATTTTATACAGAGTGTTTTGAAACATGTCTTAAATATGGTTAATTTTAAGTCCAATTTACTCAATTTTTTCAACACCCCGTACATTATTTTAGCATAACATTCCTTATGAATTTACTTATTCAATGAAACCATTATGTTAGCCAATAACACATATACCATATACCATCAGTGCGTAATTGATCTATAGCTGTTTTATTATTGGAAAAACGAAAAAAACAAATATAATAAAAGTTGTATGGCCATATTTAACAATTATTCTTAAATATAAATTAAAGAGGAGCTGACCAAACCTATACTTTTTTAAAGAAAACACCCTGCAGGTAGTTATATATATTTGATTATTTTCACATTGTCAAAGAATTTTAATTGACTTCATTCATTTGCTATGTTGAATATAGGGTGTGTTAAATCGCGAGGTTACGATTTTCTCAATTTAAATGGTATGAATTAATTAATGGTATAAAATACAAAGTACTTATTCCATTTAAAAAAATTGAGAAGATCGTAACCTCGCATTTTGACACACCCTATATATAACATAGCAAATTAAAATTGTTTTTAATGATGTGAAAACAATCAAATACGTATAACTACCTGCAGGATGTTTTACAATAAAAATGTATAGGTTTGGTCAGCCTTTCATTTATGGACTACCCTGTATATTAATATTAATTGTCAAATATGGCCAAACAACGTTTATATTAATTTTTTTTTCGTATTTCCAATAATAAATGCCATATAGATCAATTACGTACTGATGGTACACGCTTATATGTGTTAATAGCTGATATGTTGGTATCGTTAAATAGGTAAATTCTTAAGGAGTTTTATGCCAAAATAATATACAGGGTGTTGCATTTGAAAAATTAAGTAATTTGAACTTAAAATTGACCATATTTAAGACATGTTTCAAAACAATCTGTATAAAATAAACCAGTTTTATTACCACTATTCGTTAGCTTAGTATCTTATAAGTCTGTATATTAAACAATTTTGAAATCAATGTAAACTTACCTAAATTATGATAATTTAAAAAATATACTTTTTTATTTTCCAGTCAAAATCGCAATCCAAAAATATTTTTAAAATACGTATTTTTGAATTCAAATTGTTTGCGTGTTTATAACACAAATTGAAATATTGAGCAATTACGCACTAATGGGACACCCTGTAGAGCCTGCGACCTATGTTGTGTTAAAAACTTACCGCATTTATCATTGCGAGGACAAACCGTATTAGCTCTCTTTCAGTATCATACGGAAAATTCGACTTCATGTGTTCAAAAAGATCCTTATCTACAAATACTGCAGTTTCTACAAAAGCCGAAGCACCGTCAGTAAATACTTCCCGCTTTCTTCTTTTTCTATTTTCTGTTACCACATTATCACTAAATTCTTTGGTTTCATTTATTACGGGAAGTGTATAGTGCGGACATGAATCATCTTTGGCAATATTTGAGTATTGGTGCCTTTTTTGTATGAGTATATGCGGTTTGGCAGTTTTGTTTTGGAACCTGTCCGGCAGTGGATGGATTAGGAAATATTCCTCGTCATTGGTGTGTAGTATACCTCTCTAAAATAAAAGATACAGTTATGAATATACAGGGTCTTCTAAAATGGTTGTGCCAAACCTAAGGAGGTTATATATATGGGGAACATTGTCGGCCAAAGGCCCATTTTTGACTAAATGTCTCCCTTTAGTCAAAAATGGGCCTTTGGCTCCAAAGTCATTTTTGCTTAAATGATCAATTGTTTTGCTTTAATTTAATTTTTATCAGGAAATAGTTTAAAGATAGATGAGAGATTAAAGCGAGCGACATAAAAAACAATATACACTTTTTTGATCTATACAAGTTTATCAATATTGCATTCCTAAACTCGATGTTGTTGACAATTTAATTTTAGTCGAAATCGCAGCTAAAATACTTCACATTCGTTTCTTTTGCGAGAAAGATTTGCGGTTCAACTATGAAAAATGCAGATGTGCATACCTAAATACCTAAAAAAAGATGTAATTTATACCAAAGTGTGTTGCCTGGGGTGTCCTTAGAATGTCTTAACCAAAATACCAATGTTATTACAAAAAATCCAGAATAGCTGTCTACGTTTCGCCTATGGAATTCGAAAATTTGATCATATCTCGAATAAAATGAAAGAATCAGGTTGGTTGACTTTCAATAACTATCGCCTTTTGCATTTATTAACCCAAGTTCACAAAGTTTTACTCATACAGAAACCTGATTATTTAGTTAACTAATTAAAGACATTTTCCAATATTAATGAATTTCCTACGCGGAATCGAATGACCTTGGTGGTACCGAATCATAACACGGCTCTATTTAAAAGATGTTTTTCGTATGTTGCATGTAAAGAGTACAATAAACTTACAAATGAATTTAAATCATATAACTTGCTTAATTTCAAGAAACGCCTAAAAGATTCTTTGTTCAATAAGCAATGGTCATAAAAAAATATATTATATAATGCAACGAATTTGGTTTTGAAAATCTGTTTATTTTTTATACTTTTTTTTCTCTATTATATTATATTATATTATATTATTATATTTCAATGTTATTTACAGGTTAAGTTGTAAATCAGCACAAGCTGAACTTCACCTTTTCATCTACCTTATATATGTATATATTTACACTTATACTAAAACTTGATGAATAAAGACGCTTTATTATTATTATTATTATTATTATTAAATAACTGAGATATGGAGATTTGTCAAAAACGCACTATTTTAATTTTTCGCAATGATTTCAAAAACCAGAAGTAACTCATAAAATGTTATAGCTAGTTCTGAAATGGAAATTGAATCCTGAGAAACATTGCCCATTTAATCGATTGTGTAGCTTCTTATAATAACCGAGATAGCAAAACATGTAGTCATAATTTGGGACACACTGTATACCTCACGTTTCAGTATCGCTACCATTCTTGTAAATTGTGACGCAAGCTGATTGGATCGGTAATCAGCAATGAGAACTAGTCCAATATTGGAGAAATCCATTGTAGCTAGAATTTACTCAGTGCACTAAAAAGTTATCTGGTTATAACATAGATCATAATTTGATGCATTAAGTAATCAATTAATTTCAAGTGGCAATCCATTGTTGTGATTCATAACACCGGCACACACAAAAAAAGTTGTTTGTACATCAGACACGACCTACCTACCGGCATGTATTTTGACCCGCTGAATCCGAATTTCAAGTCAGTTTGGGCCGTCCACCCTTCAATAACGAGTAAATTGTAAAAATAATAAAAATAAGATAATTAGTAATAAAAAAAATTTATGAATCGAAACCAAGCATAATTCTTATGTATTTCGATCCGCTGAATACTGCCCCAGCAAACATTTTCTATAACATTAGTTATAACTCGACTTTGTTAAAGACGAATTTACTTATTGAGGTAATTATTACGTAAAATTGACTAGAAAAATATACCTCTAATGTAAATTTACCAAACGGTTTTAATTTATATTTAAATTTACGTAAATTTTACCAAGAAATCTACCTTTTACACAAATCTGCTTAAAAGTAAATTTAACCATATCAGCAAGGGAAAAACTACTAAAAAAAATAACCAACAATTACTTCAAAGTTAAATTTCCTTTGTAGTAAAATTAGGTGCCATATTTAGGTAATATCTACCTGTTTGGCAACTAAAAATCGTCTTTATAGTAAAATATCCAATTAGGTAGATTTGGTTAAAAATTGTACGTAATTTTATGCCTCCATAGTAACCTATTTGGTCGCTTTTATTTACTCTCCTTTAAAGTAATATTAGGTCGAGATCGTAGCAAAATTCTACCTGTTTATCTACCTAATTTCAACCAAATAGTCGAATACTCATTTAGTTGACCTATAAGTCATCTTGAAGAAATATTTATTAACTGTGTTGTAGCAATTACCTGGAAAATATACCACAAAGTAAATTCGACTAAAAACCACCAATTTAAAAAGAAGTCATACATGACCTATTTGTAAAATTTATATTATTTAGGTTATTTTAACAATTAGGTTGTTCAGTTACTGTCTTCATCGTTATTCTTAAGAATTTCGGCCATTTTAAAAAAACCATTACAGTCGTAATCTTAATTTACGTGTGGTGTAGATAGAGCTTTAAATGAGTGCGAAAAATAATTAATAAAATGAGTTCGAAAAATAATAAATCATATCGTTATACTTCCGATTTTTATCGTAAAGTGAAACGTCTAAAATCTTAAGTGCAGAACAACGCGACCTAAATATGTTATATTTACCTATAGGTAAATTTTTTATAAAACCTATAAGTTATTATTTCTTTAAATAGGTAAAGTTAACTAATATGTCGTGAAATTGAAGTTAATTCAACTTAATAAAAAGGTATTTGTAAAATACGTAGATTTCCTTAGTCATAATAACTTTTAGGTCGAATTTGCACAATACGCCATATTTTCTTAACGTAATTGAAGTACGATTCCAAATTTTAAATTTTTAAAATGACCATAACTAGAACATACGAATGAAAATAACGAAAAACGAAACATTATTGATTTTCTAAAGTGATACACAACAAACGTAACATAGTTTTAGCTCATAATATTATTATTATTTTTTTACACGATCATATTTTTTTCTTATATTTTTTTAATTAGAGAGTATTTTGGAAGGGCTTGTTATTTTTCTAAGTAGAACTGGTAACATGCACGACAAAATTTTCTTCGCATTAATTTCAACAAGCGTGAACTGTATTTTCACTAGTAATACCACTAGAGGTCAAATTATTTCCGGAAATTTTTTCGACCTCATGAATATTTTGAAAATTTCCCGAGTCGCAGACGAGGGAAATTTTCTAAAAATATTCATAAGCGAGAAAAAATTTCCTGTAATTAATTTGACCTCGCGTGGTATTCGGTAAGAAAATTCCACGCCGAATTATGGTTGAAAATTAAATACTTTTAAAATTTATTTTTCGTTTCTCAACAATGCAAATTATTTTCTCCAAGTCACCAGGGAAACATAAAAGGTGTTGTCGCCTTGATTGTTGAGTTGTCATGGTAACTAAGTGAGACCCTAACCTCGAATATAATTTCAGTTTTGAAGTTGTCAAGCGGCCCGACGTAAAAAAATGTTTCGCTGCAATTATTTAGGCCTTCAAATTGCTTATGTCTACTCATTGTAGTTGCATGGGAATACCATTTGAAAATAGAAAATAGTATATTCTTTAATTTTACGTAAGTTTTGAATAACTACAAGTGGTAGAAAATTGTTTTTCTGCGTTTTTATTAACATGCGTTATGAGCGCTTTAAAATGGTATGAAATTCATAACCAGCGTCAGCAAGCATCAATCGTAGGAGGCTGTGATCATTGTATTTTGACAGTTCAAAACATTAAATAACTCGCGTTTTGTTGCGATAAAGAATATTGCACAGCAAGTAAAACCAACAAAATTACCTATTTGTTTAAAAATGAATCGATTTGAAAATCATACGCTATGCAAAATATGCGTGAAATTGTCTGATGTAATGATCAATCAGTGCACCATGACTTACTTACTCGGATTAATAGAGGATTGTGGCTCCAACTTGAAAAACGAAAATTTGTTCCGAATTGTCCACGAATATTTGCACCTAAACTACGCAAAATTCAAAGTGCTGAATGGGAAAAAGGTGAATAAATTAGTGTCTAAATATTATATATATTTTATTAGACATAGACACATAATTCAAAGCATCCAAAGTCCTGCATTTTCGCCATTAAGAAGAAAAGAAGTGGCCGAAGAATATAGAAAACACCTTAGCATTGTAACTAAAATGTATCAAAACTAAACCTATTATGTGAACAAATAAAAACCAGTCTGTCAAAAATGGTCTGTTATTGTAAACGTCAAAAAATTTCCAGTATAATTCGCTGTTGGGTACCCCACGAGAAAAAAATTTCCACTAAAATACCTCCGTTGCCATGGTGATCTGTCAAAAACACGTATTTTGATTGGTTCAAAATTACAGGTGTGGAATTTTCACCGCAATTACATTACATATATTTTTGTCACAGACATTTCATCATTTTCAATCTTTCATGTGAATTAGGTATATGTTTTAGTAGTGTTGGTGACTTCTTACAATATTTCTACTTATATATAGATAAAATACCAAATAAAAAAATACCAAATAAAAAAATTTCTTTTCGTACACTTGGAGGCATACGTCATCTGCAAATATTTTGGTAGTTTCTACCTAAACTTAGTTAAATCAACGTCGAATTAACGTTATACTGACGTCAAATTTCCCTAGAGAGGTATTACTAACCAAACGTACTGGGCTACTACAATGTGGATTTAGATGTAATTCTACCTATTTTGGTAAATAAAACCAAATTTCGACGTCGTCTTATTCTCCACTTATGTCGAATCCACGTCGAACCAACGTAAATTTTACTTAATTATGGTTAAATCTAATTTTGCGACCAAATTTATTATATATAATTTAGGTAGTATCGACGTCAAATTACACCAAAATGTTTGCTGGGGCGGAGGTCATTTGAGAACAAAAAAGTTTGATACCAACAAAAAACAGTTCAAAATCTGAGAAAATCTTTCGCTTCATTCAGTTCATACATCAGTTTTTAAAAATTTTGCAAGGTTGGATATAAAAGGGTGGACGACCCAAACTGACTTGAAATTCGGATTCAGCGGGTCAAAATACATGCCGGTAGGTACGTCTTGTCTGATGTACAAACAACTTTTTTTTTGTGTGCCGGTATAATTATTACTCTTATAGTATTATTATCAATGTTAAATAGTTCCTAATAAGGACAATACTAATTAATCTAAATTAATACACTCACCGGCACGAAAAACGGAGCAGTTGAATTTTTTTTAAACAAACTTAAAATTTTAATGCTTTGTGATGTTTTATTATTATAATATCTTAAACATATTTTTGAAAGAGTAAAACCAAATTTGGTAGATTTTCACACTTTTATTTTAAAAATAAAAATTTTTAAACAAACACTAACATGACATATGTTTCGAAGTACAACTTCTTTTTCAAATGTGACTATTTACAATTCGGTATCCAATATATATACAAAATAATTTAACAAAACAAAGTACTTAAGAAAACATCAATAACATTACAAAATAAACTAACTATTTAAAGTAAATAAGGGTACTTAGGTAATTATAATATCCATCAAATAACAATAAGATAGCCCATTACCGGGATTATCTCACAGAAAACTGGGAAAGAGGTTTAATAAGGGTGAATTATTAATATCTAATTGATCATTTAGTAAGTTATCTGAATTTTTAAATCTATTTATTTCAAGTGTTTCTAAATGGTTTAATTTAAGGCTCTTATTTTCTACATGTAAAATTTCAAAGTTGTCTGTAAAAGAATGATTTTCAGCTAAAATATGATTTGAGTAAGTAGAATTATTTTTGTTTTTTGTATAGCTATTATAATGTTCGGAATAGCGTTTTTTGAAAGTACGGCCTGTTTGACCAATATACAATTTTGGACAACTACCACAATTTAATTTATATACCCCCGATTTATTATTAGGATTAATTTTACCCTTATTGTTTTTAATATACTTCCCAAGCGTATTATTGGTTTTAAAAGCTACGTTAATATTTTGGTTTTTTAAATATGATGATACCTTTTCACTAGGAGCTCCTATATATGTAAGACTCTTATATCTGCAATTTGGATCCAAATTGCAGATATAAGAGTCTTACATATATAGGAGCTCCTAGTGAAAAGGTATCATCATATTTAAAAAACCAAAATATTAACGTAGCTTTTAAAACCAATAATACGCTTGGGAAGTATATTAAAAACAATAAGGGTAAAATTAATCCTAATAATAAATCGGGGGTATATAAATTAAATTGTGGTAGTTGTCCAAAATTGTATATTGGTCAAACAGGCCGTACTTTCAAAAAACGCTATTCCGAACATTATAATAGCTATACAAAAAACAAAAATAATTCTACTTACTCAAATCATATTTTAGCTGAAAATCATTCTTTTACAGACAACTTTGAAATTTTACATGTAGAAAATAAGAGCCTTAAATTAAACCATTTAGAAACACTTGAAATAAATAGATTTAAAAATTCAGATAACTTACTAAATGATCAATTAGATATTAATAATTCACCCTTATTAAACCTCTTTCCCAGTTTTCTGTGAGATAATCCCGGTAATGGGCTATCTTATTGTTATTTGATGGATATTATAATTACCTAAGTACCCTTATTTACTTTAAATAGTTAGTTTATTTTGTAATGTTATTGATGTTTTCTTAAGTACTTTGTTTTGTTAAATTATTTTGTATATATATTGGATACCGAATTGTAAATAGTCACATTTGAAAAAGAAGTTGTACTTCGAAACATATGTCATGTTAGTGTTTGTTTAAAAATTTTTATTTTTAAAATAAAAGTGTGAAAATCTACCAAATTTGGTTTTACTCTTTCAAAATTAAATGGATTTTCATCAAGTAAAGGCCGAAACAATAAATAATCTTAAACATAAGCAAAACAACGTGTTTTAAGCATTTTCTAACAACAATTGAACCTTTATTTGAAGAAAAAAAGCGTTTTTGAACAAAAATAAAAAATTGAACGGACTTATCACTTCAAAGTGCATTGTTGGCTATGAAACCATGACCAACAATGCTGTTGTTTTCATTGTTTTGAGAAATTTGACAGATCGAAACACGTTTTAAAGTTGTGCTGCGTTTATTTCACCTACAAAATTATGACGAAGAACTAGCGCTCATGATGATCGCTTTATCATCTTACAAAGTCTGCGAAATCGTCATGCTACGGCTGTTGAAATCAGAAATCGACTTCATCACGTCCGGCAAACCAACATAAGCGAACGGACAGTTAGACGAAGACTCGGAGAAGCCAATCTTACCAGTCGTAGACCTGCAACAGGCCCAGAGCTTCTTAGGTGTCATCGTATTGCGCGATTTCAGTTTGCCAGAAATCATGAGCACTGGGGTGAAAATGAATGGGGGCGCGTTTTGTTTACGGATGAGTCCAGATTTAGCCTGCGGTCTCCAGATGGTCGTGAGAGAGTATGGCGAAGACCACAAGAGCGTTTCGCAGAATGTACCTTTAGTCCTAGGGTAGGCTACCAAGGAGGCTCAGTTATGGTGTGGGCCGTAATTTCTATGGAGGCACACACAGAATTGTACATCCTTCCGAGAGGCTCCTTAACTGCTGCCAGGTACATTAATGAAATTCTCCAAGATTTTGTTGTCCCTTATGTTGACTTTATTGGAAATGACTTTCTTCTAATGCATGATAATGCCAGACCTCACATCGCGAGAATCACTCAACAGTACTTAAACGATGTAAACATTCCTGTTATGGAGTGGCCAGCGTTAAGCCCTGATGCGAACCCAATTGAACATGTTTGGGACGAAGGATGCGAAGTCGTGTTCCTGCTCCTTTAACTTTAAATCAGTTGCAACAAGCTCTTTTAGAGGAATGGGAACATATTCCTCAAGAGGACATTCGCCACTTAATTTTAGGCATGCCAAGGAGGATGCAGGCTATTATTTGAGCACGTGGGGGCAACACACGTTATTAAAAATGCGGCTCCCCAGTTTTTGCTAGCAAGTCGTTTCAGTTTTGATTAATTTAAGGTCATTTAGCAACAACACCAATTTGTGATTTTTCGTCTTCGTCTTTTAAATTGTTACAAAACCCTTTTTTTCTTCAAATAAAGATTCAATTGTTGTTAGAAAATACTTAAAACATGTTGTTTTGTTTATGTTTAAGATATTATAATAATAAAACATCTCAAAGCATTAAAATTTTAAGTTTGTTTAAAAAAATTCAACTGCTCCGTTTTTCGTGCCGGTGAGTGTATGATAAAAAACGAGTACGTAATGATATTAAATATTTCTACGATAAATGGCTTCTAGTAAAGAGAATATAGTAGTTGATCCAAATTGAAATAATAAAAAACCAGTTAGGATATTAACTTTTTCTACGATCACCACAGAAAATGATCTATTTTGCATTCTTAGCAATTGAATTTGTGAACTTTTAACAATGACAATGATATACCTAACCAGTAACGCCATTTCAAATTAATTGTTTTTAATTTTAATATTTAATGGGTCATTAGAGACTGTTTAACTCTTTCTAACAAATAAAATTGACTTATGTCCCCACGGATATTTTTTATGAGCAGACTTTTTTAGTTCATTAAAAATCAAATAAAACCGATACACTTCTCTCCAGTTTTGTCAATAAGATTAAGTGAAGTTGGTTTAGTAATCCAATGAGTAGAGGCCACTCACTGAACTAAAGAAGAATAAGAGAAGAATATTTAATGTCTTGTTTTTCACTTGTTCTTTCGTAAAATTCGTTAATATATTTTTATTGTTTATAAGCTAGTGAAAGTGTGTATTTTAATAAGGGAAATTAAATTAAAATTTGGATAGTCACTGAAAAACTTAAAAATAAAAACCAAAAAACACAAACTTTGGATCTGGTGAATTCGTTGGGCACGTAACTAATCCATTACGACCTCTCCTCATATGCAGGAAAGTGATGTCTAAAAACTCCTGCATTTCCCAACTAATGAATGTTTTAATGATGTAATTTTTTTTCTTGTTTCGTCACCGAGATCAACAGACCTAAATCCTTGTGTTTCTGGTTTTTTATTTATTTTTGAGTTGAAGTATTTAATTCACCCCCTTAGGAGTGAATTTCAACTTCAGAAACCAAGCTTGTGCGAGGTAGGGTCGGCTTTTATTATTTGCCGTGGGGCTCCATTTGAAATACAGATGAATAAAATTCCACCCACCATCATGTAATCATCTAAGTTTAGGTACAAAATAAAAAAAGGAAGTATACTTACAATTCCTTTGCACAAACTCAAGGCGGCATTATCGTTTCTAAAATAACAGTTCTTATCATCTTCTTCAATTTCAAGTGGTTTAGATCCATTGGCGAAAGTTTCAAGAATCACAACGTCGCTAGTTATTAAATTTTTGTCGATAGGTTTCAACGTTATATCAAAATCATTTCCTATTTCTTCTGATTTTATTTGAATTCGATGTATTGTCGACTGTATATCTTCATTTTCTTCAGAAGTGCTGGTTCCGTTTTGGATGTGAATCGTGGGATAAATGATGAAATATTTTTCTCCTAAAATAAAAGTTCTTTTTTAATTCAAATTAAATGTATTGACAAAAACTATTATTGATCAAATAAAAAGTATCTTTATGTTTTTATTTGTGATATATTAAGTAAAGGAATCAGCCAAGAGCCAGAAAGGGAAGAATAAGAAAATATAGGAGAAATACAGGTTGAAATGCCAGGTGAAAGAGAAATAAGTGAAGTCTTTAAAAAGCAAAATAGAAGGCTCAGCGAAAATAGTATATGTGCAGAAATGCTTAAATAAGGAAGAGATCTGATAAAATGGTACCAGATAGAAATAGTACAGGAAGTATGGGAAAGGGAAAAAATGTGAGATACATTTCACCAAGCTGATATTAATCCTCTGTTAAGAAAAAAGGGAGACAGTAAAAGTGCGAGAACTACAGACTTGGTGAATATAACTTATAAAATGGTAGCTAATTATGTATAGCCTGCAATTAAAAATGTAAAATATTGTGGATTAGTATCAAGCTGGGTTCAGAAAGTAAAAATCAATTGTAAATAACAGTCATATTATATTATATTAACACAAATAAAAGAAAGTACTAAAGAACATGGAATGAAACTTCAAGCAGAATTCATTGATTTTACACAGACATACAATAGTATAAAACGAGCATAAATATACAAAATAGGGTAATCCACCCAGTTACCGGACACCTTGCAGTTATTGGACAGTTACGAAAATGGTTTGGAGAAATTCAAGACTATGTAAAGTTAAAAAATATTGATCTCAGTGATCCTTCCCGAATTTTTAATGGAGACAAAACAGGCTTCCAAATTTGTCCTAGCATTGGAAAAGTTTTCGCAGGGAAAGGCGTGAAAAATGTTTACTCCATAGATAAAGGATCACAAAAAGAAAATATTACTGACATGTTCTCTTTTTCCGCTACAGGAATGACATGTCCACCAATGATAATATATCCCTACAAAAGAATTACAGAGAAAATAACCGTAACAGTGAATCCAAGTAGGGGAATCGGCCGATCTGATAATGGATGGATGAGATCAGACACATTTTATGATTATATTAAAAACAGATTTCATCCATACTTAGTTGAACACCAGCTTTAGTTTCCAGTTGTATTATTCTTGGATGGACATAAGTCCCACTTGACATATGAACTGAGTCTTCTCTGCATTGAGCTAAATATAGAAGTAATTGCCCTCTATCCAAATGCAACTCGAATTTTGCAACCTTGTGATGTAACGGTATTTAGACCAATAAAGATGAGATGGAAGAAAGCCGTTAAAAATTATTATAAGCAAAATCCAGGGAAAGTTCTCAATAAATTCTCTTCTGCTCCCCTCTTAGAAAACGTGGTGACAGAAGTAGCCAAACCAGAGACGCTAATAAATGGATTCAAAGCTTGCGGACTATACCCATTTAATCCAGATGCTATCGACTTTTTAAAGTGTTTGGGAAAGCTCAATAAAGCTATTGAGGTAAGTTTAGAAATCACACTTGCTTTTCTGCAGTTTTTTTTTCATATTCTTTTCGCCTATTTGATTTTCAGGAAGAGAATTCTAATCCCGTCAAGATGGATGGCAAGATGTTTATTAACTTTGTTGGAGGTGACATAATCGCTAGATTCAAATCATATGATGCCATTCTCATCAACGAAGGAGTCACTCCTAAATTTTTAGACCTCCAAAGGATGTGTAGATACTTCGGAAACCCTAATGAAAAAGAGGGGGAGAATGCTGTTACTCAAATAGATACTGATTTGAGGAATTAACCTGAAAAACCCAATGAAAAAGAGGTGGAGAATGCTTTTGCTCAAATGGATACTGAGTTGAGGAATGAACCTGAAAATCCCAATAATGATGATAAAACTACAGAAGGAAATGAAAATAATTCCAATTCAGAAGTTGATTCGATTACGATGACCGAACCCTCAAAGAGTAAGGCGGTTCATGTGCTTGCCGATGTCATTATCAAGAAAGGAGATGATTCATCACCTACCAGTTCTCTTGTTTGTGAGAAAATTAAGACAATGAGACAAGAAACTGAAAATTCAGAACTACCTGAAACTTCAAACGTGCAAATAAATAACAGCACTAGCGATTAGATACACAAGACGTCTAGTTCTTCATCAATAGGTAGATGTATTGAAGACTACCTTAAAATTCCAGATGAGCCTCAGCGCAAAAACAAGTAGAACGGGTATCTTTTGCTATAACTTCACGACTCTACTAAGAAAATTTTGAGGCTAAGAGAGCTATCAATTTGGAGGAGGAGGAGAATAAAAAGATTAAAAGAAAACGTAGAAGGGAAGAGAAAGATGCAACTAAAACTAATTTAAAAAATAAAAATGTCTGTAAATCAAATGAAAATAAAATAAATGCAATCTGTTCCTATTATAAGAAACCCTTAACCAAAAGTAAACTCTGGACATGTAATTCTTGCCAGAAGAAGTTTAACAGTCTCTGTATTCCAAAAAAAATACAAGGAGCATGTTCCCGATATAGATGATGGCGATTTATTTGTGTCATAATTGCTACAAAGAGGAAAGTAATGATACTACCATTAGTGAGGAGAGCTCTGATGATTTAAAAAATGAGGGAGATGGCTTCAATGGAGAGCAAAGTCTTAAAATCGAGGGGCTGATGAACTTGGCAAACAATAATAATTGTTTAGAAGGCGAAAGAGAAAAACATGTGACAAGAACTGACGACTCGCATGATGTAAAGTAGATCTGTTTTATAGTGATAAATTAGTCGGTGATGATCTGAATGACTTAAACCCAGACGTTAAACAAAATACTGAAGCTGAAGATGAGGAACAAGATATAGACGAGCTTTTTACAATGTATAAGAATTTTTACAAAAATTTCTAATAAATTTTGATAGTGGTTGACATGAATAAATCTTCATGAAATTACTCTTAAATAAATAAAAGCAAAAAACCCTACCTCCTGGCTTATTGATTTCTGAATGTTTAATTACTGTATTGAGTATGTCAAAAAACTAGGAAAATTGTCCAATAACTAAATTTGTTGACATAATCTCAGTTTTCTCATTGTTAAAATTTACATTTTTTCCTACTTAAAATTATAAATACTACAATATAGAGCCAACATATTATCGATTAAAACAAACCATCACTCATATCTCTAGGTGGAAAAATATCTTTTCACCATGGTCTCAATTTATTTTAAATCCTTAAGTGTCCAATAACTGGGTGATTTACCCTACATAAAGATTACAATATTTCTAAAAAAATTATAGCCCAATTTAATTGACATTAAGTGACCCCCAATATAAAACAAAACTAAATAGGTCATTATCCCAAAGTTTTGATGTATAAGAAGGTTTGTTTCAAGAAGACCCACTTTCCACAGTGCTATTTAATTTAATACTGGATCATGTATGGTGAAAAAAGTAATCTCATTATAATATCGCACATAGAAAAGGAACTCTTAAAAGCTATTCAGCAATTCCAGACAGAAGCATCGCTTGTATGTTTAGAAAGTGAACGTAACGAAGAAAGTAAAGAAATGGAAGGAAATAAATAAACGGTGTTTGGGAAAGAAGGTGTTATAAAGCGATATATGAGCAGTATAAATAACCTATAGTGAAAGCTCAAATAATAAGAATGCTGCGAATAGGTAAGGAAATGATAATGAAGATTTGTTGGACATATGACAAATTTCCATTTAAGTTGATTTGGGGTGCTATGAATAGAATTATAATTTGTTAGAAGTGATTGTGCTTTTAATATTGTAGCCAATCAATACTATAATGGGATCATAAATATTTGAGGTAGATGCATGTTATAAACGACTACTTTTTAAAATAGAAACCTTGTTTTTTATTGCATTTCTATTTTCACGTAAAAGAATAATAATGTTCATTTCTTAATAATTTCTTACCGAGCTAATATAGTTTATGATATTTATCGATTTCTCTCTAAATGCACGATGTAACAAAAAAAATAGATTTTAATCAATTTTGCTTTGCATCACATTTCATAACCTTTAAGCAACTGTCGCTATATTAAACGTAATGTCACAGGGGATGTCTTAAATAATACCGCACGAAACTGACTTCTTCTAACACCAACAACGACGACGACGACGACGACGACGACGACGACGACGACGATGACGACGATAGATTGGTTTCCGAATTTTGAAATTATTCAGACACCTATTTCAGATATTTCTGACTTTTCGAATGTCTATTTGCGATCTAAGATATATTACAAGTTTCACAATTCTGTATTATCCTAGTCAAATATCTACAAATTGTTCAGAATATGTATAACGACAACAACTATGGATACTAATGAACCTAATTGAAGGTAATTATGTACCAAGGTTCAATTTTGAGCCCATTACTGGTGTAGTATTAGATGAAATCACAAAGAACATACAGGAATAAATCTCTGCTGTTTAATGTAAGACATAAATAATAAAAAGTTAAATAAGTGGATAGTAAAGGTGGAGATAAAAGATCTGAGAATAAATGGAGTGGAAACAGATAACTTAGAATGAAGTTTATTCGATAATCGAAGTCAGGTTCCAATAATCACACAATTGCAAAGGCAAGGGAAATAAAATTCGACTAGTTTATGTTTTTGGAATCCGTTTTATAAAAAAAGGATAATTGAATGAAGACCTTTGGAAAAGGGTAAGAGCTGGGTGGTTAACGTGGAGGGCCTATAGGATATTTGTTAGACCAGCCTCATATACGCGTCAAAATGTTAGGTAGTGAATGAAAGATACGAACATAAAAATATACATTGCTTAGAGATATTGCTGAATATGTATGAAGTCACAATACGGGATAAAATTATAAATCATCGTATTATGGAGAGTTTGCGAGGAGTAAGTAGATGAGAGGCATGTGGGGAGGAAAAGAGCACCCAATTAGTTAAATGCTAGGAGCGTTATAATATGACTATTTCACACAAATCGTTAGGGTTAAAAACTGATAATGAAAAAATTAATTAAAGTATTTTAAGAGTATATCACAAACATATTCACAGCTTTCTTTATTCATTATCGTTCTTTTTTTGTAGTCAGTTATCCAATAATTAAAATGGAGTATTACCAGATAATTATAAACACTTTCTACAGCTTCTATTATAAAAATAAAAGATGCGCTTTCAGTTGAGAAGTGCATAAATAAATTATATACATAACCCGACGGAGAAATTTCTGTTGAAAGCAAATGTGGCACACATGAGAATTTGCAGTAAAAATAAAAAGAAGCAATCAAGCATAATATATGTATTACTGATCATTTAATTTAATGCTGCATTTAAATTTACCCTCATTTTCGATTAAATGTAGTAGTTTGATTTGAAAGTGAAATTATTGGCTTAGGTTTAGTTTATAAATTAAATATTGGATCTTCTTAATATTTTGGTGATACTTCAATAAAAAAAGAAAAAAAGAAGAGAAAAGTAGTAGAAGAAACAATAAGAACTACAGTGGGAGAATATCCATTACTTCAATACTTATTATGTACAGTATTCTTAGTTATTAATGGACCACAAATATTGATAAACTGAAAAATAATATCTACTAAAATTACGACGATTCTGTCAGTGGTATAGAATTTAGAGACGCGAAACTCTTTCTCTGTCCCTGATGGACGCCTCTGGAAATGCTTAATGTTAATATTAATCTATTATAGTGTATTTTAGCCTTCTTTCAAATTTTATAAAGAAATATAAAACAGTATCGTCATAAATATTAAAAAAATAATTTTTAAATGTTGGTAAGGAAATTTTAGTAAGGAAGAACATTTTTATCCAAGAGTTTTACCTAAAACTTTTCCCGTTTTTAATGGTCCAGTTATTAATGAAATATTACAAGAACTTACCTGAATTTAAATTTTGTAATAATGAGTACCATTCTAAAGGAGTCAGTAGTTCTTTCAAGCGTTCTTTAGCAATCTGAAAGAAAAAAAATATATTAATACACGAAAGAAAGGCGATAAAATCGGTTTAGCTCCGAAAAATGAAAAATGCGATAATATAATCTCCACACATGCATTACAATCGAATGAAATGGTTTTCTATAAAACAAAAACATACATGCATTTTAATTGTACTAATAATTATTTTTTCAAATTTGCAAGGGTAGCAATAGTAAAATACATCCTAAATATCACATATTAATTTCTAAAAGTAATACAAAATATTCCTATACAAACAAAGAACATAGTTAAGTTTGCAATTAAGTACCTCATTGCAAGAAGGGGACAGCTTCATTTTTGGTAAAATTTTAGTTATTTTAGGTACTCTATGTCAAATCACGACTGTTGAAAGTCTGTCTAGAAGACCTGGTAGAGCTAAGTAGTCAAAACAAGGTGACTCTAGCCTAGTTGCCAGGCCATGAGGAATATCAGGGCAATGAAAAGGCCAACGAATTAGCCCGAGAAGGCTCAGATAAGGCTATGACAGGTCCCGAACCCTTCTGTGGAGTTGCTAAGGCATTGTGCAAGGCTTCCATCAAACAATGAATCTAAAAAAAACTTACTGCATCAAAAGCGTCAAATCGTTAGTCTAACAGTATGACTTCTTACTGGACACTGTCACCTTAGAAGGCACATGATTGTCTAAAATCCAGCAGAAGAAGCAACTTTGTGCACGTTCTGTGAATAAGAAGAGGAAAATCAGTCTATGTTCTGTGCCAATGTGAAGGCCTGGCTAGAATGGGATTTCTAACATTAGACGAAGAAAAGCAAACGCATGCAACTGCATGCGAAAGCCACTGTCAAACCTATTAAGTCTAATAAAAAAGACCAGCAATAGATCTAAAAACGTCGCAGTGGCCAAGAACAAATGAAGAGCACACAGCAAAAACGAACAAAGGCACTTTTTTTCTGAAAATGAGTTAAATACACGATAAAATAGCTGAGAGTCTGTAATATATGCTGAACTGGTTTACATAGCAATAACGTGCATAGTCAGGTAGTTATTTCGCAAACAAAAAATGGTGTAAACAGCAAAAACGATGAGTATCACGGGTAAATACAGCAAAAATTGTTCAAGTCAATGTTTGCGAGGTGCGTGTTACTTGTACAATAGGGCAAATAATTTTTGTTATTATTCATATTCTAGTGTTTTACAAAGTCAAACAACAGAGCAGCATAGAGTGTTGAATTGTGTAGTTTTTGCTGTTAACATGAGTACACAAGGACTAAATAATGAAGAAAATAGTAGTAGTGACTCGGATACAATTGAAAAATTAAATACAATCTTTTTGACGAGAAGTAGACGTTATCAAAAAATTGAGACTGTGTTCCCACGAGCAGGAAGACTGTAGATGCACAAGGTATAAATGATTTGAAAAATTAGATTTTCATGAACGTAAACAAATTATAAAAGAATTTAATGAAATTTCTTCTAAAGTTCTCATTTAACTGGTTTAATAAGTGTTTTACCAATTAAAACACGTCGCCCAAGACAAAATGAAGAATTAGCTAGAATTCATGATAGGGCATATTCTTATAAAATAAGAACATGAGTAAAAATAATATTATTGAGGTTCCGGTCTGTCGAAAGGCATTTCTTTTTTTGCATGAAATTTCTGTAAGGCGGTTACAAACGATTCAGGAGTCTCTAAAAAATGTGGCATGTCTCCAAAAGACATGAGTGGAAATACATATTCATTGTACTAAACCTCCTGCTACTTTGGAGGCTGTAAAAAATCACATAAGTTCTTTTAATGGGATACAAAGTTATTATAGCTGTAAAAAGACTACTGTGGTTTATCTACCGGAGAGCCTTAATCTAAAGAAGATGTACAAAATGTATACAGATTTAAATCTTGGATTTGTCTCGTATGAATATTATCGCAAAATATTTAATAATAATTTCAACATTGCATTGCTATGGATTTCCAAAAAAAATGTCACCGAATATTTCCACTAATGATGTGTATTATAAACGTCAGCTTTCATTTTATTCATTTAATATCCATGTTCTTTCTACATCAGATCCGTACTTTTATTTCTACTCAATATTGCTGCTAAAGGATCAGAGAAAGTGATTTCTATGCTTATGCTAAGAGAGCTCGAAATATTTTGCGATTCATGTGGTGGGCAAAACAAAAATTATTATATTTTTCGGTATATCCATTACGTTGTTGTAAGCACTTGACAGGATAAAAATTACCTTTCCTATTAGGGGACAATCTTATTTTGAATGCGATAAGAATATGGGCCTCATAAACCAGAATACTAAAGCTGAGACTACTGCTGACTGGATTAATAAAATTAGAGGAGCAAGAGCTAAGCCAACGCCATTTAAAGTTTTTGATCTCGACCAGAGCTTCTTTCGTCAATGAAATAAATATTTAGCCCAATATTATGTAGTAAAATGTTCATTTGCAATACAGCCACTTCGAGAAATTCAAGTAGAATCCATACATCCCAGATATCTTTCATATCGTTCAAACTATAATAAGGCCATAGACACTTCAATAATTCGTACTGCTTCTATTAACTAAACAGAAATGCCAGGACCTTAACGATTTTTTTCCTACCGGATAAAACGTATATAGGTAATGAGTTACTAGATTGTCTTAAGATTTTTTGTATCATTGGTTTAATTTTTCAGAACCCATGCCAATAAGTTTGGAAAAATAGGAAAACTTACAGCAATTAAAAATGTTTTGTGAAACTGATGGTGCCTCAGAATTTGATGGCAATCTACCTCACAAATTAACAAGAAAAGTGAATAAAAAAACAGAAAATGTGTTGCATAATGTGATAGAAATAGACTTTGAGAAAGAAGAGGAAGAAGAACAAGTAAAAGAAAAAAGAAAACTGTTGTATATCGTAGAAAAGCAGTAGTAAAAGAGGGAAAACAGAAATAAAAGTATTCGATTTTAATAAGTTTTTTGACAACCAACGTTTTTGTGTGGAATTTTTCGTATTTTGGAATTATTTTTTTATTTAAATTGTCCAATTGTCCAATAACTGTTGTACAAAATGTCTACTAACTTATTTTTCTTCAGATTTCTATTCTAAGTGTATTTGACTTCCGAAACTTAAAATTCAATTTACAGAGAATTAACTTTTAATGACCTTAATCGTTTTTGCTTTGGGCTCTTCCAATAACATCTAACTCCTTGTAATCTAATCTATTCTATTCTATGTAAAAAATTAAGCTTAATCGATTGGTGTGAGAAACAGGTAGCTGCAATAATAAATGTCAAAAATATTAAACTTTTTGGTGCAAGGCCATCATTATATCTAAAAAAAAAAACATAAAAGAACTTTATTCCTCTCATCGAAATTACATATTACCAAGTCCTCAAAAGTGAAGTAGTTGGTGATGATGAATATGTTTCCCATATATCAAGCTGATAGCTATTTGTGTGTTACGAGTAAAAAGTGGCACTTTGAAAGTTGAGACAGAAATCTGTCGAAACGGTCGAAATGATTGTTAATTTGTAAAAATCCCGAAATATAATTATCCACTTTTAAAAAGACTTTGTTTTAATGAATTTTTAATCTAATTAGGCATTCCAAACAAAATGGCTGTCCGTTTGAAATGACAGGTACATGACAAGTTATAATATGGCAAAACTGTGAGCCTGGTGGTTTGATAGTGTCAGTGATATAGACAATTATAGTGATCATCCATGGTTTTAAAAATAAACATAAGTCTACGTCGACGAAAAAGGTAATACCTTATTTGCCTTTCATCTTCTGCTAATGCTAATAATAACAAAGCTTCTTATTCGGATTACATTTTTCAGTTATTAAACCTAAACGCAAAATTCACAAAAGAAATGTATGTCCTACTAACCGCATTAGTGTAAATAGCAACAAAATGGAACGCGCGATATCTACCGATACCGCCACCATCGCAACGCGTTGGTGTGTGAGATCCTTTATTCTGGCCAGCGGTGAGCTGATTAGATTTTGGGCACAGGCGGAACTTCTGAGGGGTACTTTATAGGAGGTAGTTTTTCTACTTAATGGAATATATCTGTTATGTACGCTTGGAGAAGACAGTATTTGAGAGTAATTTTTTTACTTTATGGAATATGTCTGTTATTTACCCTTACATCAGATTCTTTAACTTTGGTGCAAAAGAAGGACAGCTTACAATTGTTTTTTCCACTTTTCTTTCAAAGATATATCACCAAGAAAGAAGTTGTCGTTACCGTCACATGGTAATAGTTAATTTGTCATCCTTAGATTAGAATCTTTTATTTGTGTTAAAACAAACAGCAATTTTACAAAAAAAAAAATATATTTTCCAAAAGCTAAAAATGGAGCTGTCCCCTTCGTACAGCAAGGTCGTTAATTGTGTTTTAAAGGAAACTTTTTTAATAACCACGCATAGAAATGTTTCTTTACGCCACTGACCTATTTGCTAAAAATAGCTCTGGCACTGCATATTGCTCATTCTTATGAGTATTATTGTTTGTTTTCTTAAACGTTTACCACAAAAAAGCGGAAATTTATGTGAATGATTTACTAACCGCATTGAAAGCGTAATTTCCCCAAAGAAAATAATAAAAAAAATCCCATTAGTTTAATACTATGAATTTTGATAAAATAAAATAAATCTTTGTTTCTTTAAAATGTTGGTGGATCGACTTTAAGTTTGACATCAAACCCTAAACCTTCAACGATAGGTTAGATAATGATAGTATTCTTTGATCATAATAGTCTTGATATCCTTATACAGGATGGTAAGATAAAAACGCCACCAGAGCCATATCAGGAATTCCCTCAACATTTTAGACAAACGCTCGGAGCTCGACCTGTCAATTTTTGCTTAAATAGGACATCTTTTCTATTCATAAATTTTGTTTTTTTTTATTTATGCTATTTAAATATGTACCTATGTAGAAAATTACACACGACTTCAAAGAATGTCCTTAAATATAAGGTGAAAAAATTAAGTATATGCCATAATTATTATCAAAT